CCAGGAAATGGCCACATGCGCTTCAAATTTTGACCCTGGGCGAGAAGGCGCCATCGTCCGCGAAAAAAATGTAAGATCCCTATGGTACGAATCTCTGCCATTTGCTTTTGCGCCCCCTGGAAAAAAATAGTATTTCCAGTAGGATTGGTTCCCTTTAAAAGCAACAGGGGAAATAAGCAATATTCCTAAGCACGTGGAAGATCTAGGATTTACCTGCCCCAATTGAATTGGTCCCAGCGCACATGCATTCGGGCGAGAGGTTCTCATTTCCAGATAAGTTCCAGCTGGGACCAACCAGGAGATTGACCTGGTCCAACTGGTCCTGAGTTGCAGTGATTGGACCTGTTGACCCAACATGCCAGGGGACCTGGAAAAGTTGGTGGAGGCCAGAGCAGAGGGCCCGGCCCCCCTTGCAGCTCAGGAAAACAGGCTCATATTGGCCCTTTCTTGATCTTTCTTTTCGGACTAATGCTGGACGATTTGTTTAAGGGGCTAAAATGAACAGAATGTTCGCTTGCCCTGAAGGAAACCGGGGATGCACCACCAATTATTTGATTTCTCCAGACCCCAAATGTAGAGAACTCAGTACTTAGTTATTTGTTTCCCCTGTGAAGGTGCGGCCATGTCATGCCGTTTGTGCGAGCTGTGCCCTTTGATCAACGGCCCAATGGTAGATCAGCGGCTTCCATTCATCAGGTACGGCCAAGCTTTGGGGCAGGGGAGGGTGAAGTTTTGGTATGTTAAGGGATGGTTCCCTTTTTGTTCTCGCTTAGACCGACCCGAAACGAGCACCATCAAGAAAGATACCATGCTTCGCATGAACATCCACCTCCCGCCCTGGAGTTGCAACTCACATGGCATCGCATCAGTCGACAAGAGTGTGCAGAAACATCTTCTCGGGAGCTGGGCGTGGTACTCAACGAGGCCAGCTGCTGTTTTGAAAACTCGATCAGAGAGAGGTTCCAATTGCATGGTTTCTCCTGTTGCTTTTCTCTGATTGCAGGGTGCTTTCGGGCGCATGGCGTTAATCGAAACCCCAGAGGCGCCTCATATGTATATATATATATATATATATATATGCATTAGTTGTACAAGTGGAATGAAATTACGGGACCTTTGGCAAGGTCCCATGGATAGTGAAGAAGTCAGCTTCAGGTGACTTAGAGAAGCCTCTTGTAAAGCTGGTGCCTTCAGGACCTTTGCTTGGAGTTTTTGAGAAGGGCACAGCTGGTAATTGCTGGTCATGAGCGCGCCTCTTTGTTTTTTTTGGGGGGGGTCAGGTAGCAATCACTCCCTGTGTTTGGCTCGGTTCCTCAAGTGCCACGTGTTTCCCAACAAGGGGGGAACTAGCAAAAACAGGAGGGCCACAATCACCAGTGCACCAGTTCTTCATTTGCCTCGTGACAACGGGTGGGCCGCAGTCCAAGCTCAGCCAAAAGGTTAGAAAGGGACGCCCTCGGCGATTTTTTTTTGTGCGTCCGCTCTTTTGATTGTTTCGGGTCCCGGGCGGGGTGTGACCACTTGGCCGCCCGCCAGCCCCGGAGCCGGAGGAGCAGCCCCAGTGGCTTCGCTTCCCCCAGGCTGCACCAAACAACCCCTCAAGCAGGGTCCAGTGAAGTCCACTTTCTTTTTTTTTTCTTTACCAGCCTTTTCTTGGAGAATCTGGTAAATCACTTGAGGTTTTTTTAGCTTTGCATCCTCCAAGCTTCAGGGAGCCCTGGTTCGACTGGCCGCTCATAGCTGCTGTTTCAACAAAAGCGGTTGGTGTCCTTTGCCTTTCTTTTTTTTTTTGTGGGGGAAGAAACAAAAGCTGCGTTTGGCTTCGGCAAAACCAGGTAGACGGTCTCGGGCGAAGCCCTAGAACAAGGGTCTCCGCTTCCCTGGGTACCAGGAAGCGGAGCAACAGCGGCACGGGGCATCCAGGCGGACAGCCGGAGATCTCCCGCGAAAGGTTTGGCGGTGGGTCAAAACCGGCGGGATCCCATTTTGGGGCGGGTTTTGACCCATGGCTATTTGGTTGTATTTATTGTTTTTGTTGTTTTTTCTTTGTGAGTGTCTGTGTGTGTATTTTTTGTTGGAGGGCAAGGGGCGTTTGTTTTGTGTTGTTTTTGTTTTTTCCTCTGGGTGGGGGGGGGGGGTCGCGTTTCGCCCCCCCCCTTGTTTGGTCCAGAACGGGTTCCCTTTTTACTTCTCATCAAGTCCACAGAAAAAGATGCTCTGTTTCCTCAGGGGTAAGCATGCAGGCGCATTTGTCAACTTCTATTGCCCAAAGTAATTTCGGGAAAATGGCAATGACAGCGATGACAGGCAAACAGGGTATGTGCGAATCTTCAGGGTGGAGGCAAAGCACCCACCCCAAAAAGGGTAAAACGAAGACAAGACTTACCGAGGTCCGCAGCCGGGTTCTTGGGGGATGGCCGCAACCCGAGCCCTTGCTTTTTCCGAATGTGTGCCAAAATCGGGGGGAACACCCCCTTGCTTCTTCCCCCCTGCCCCCCCCCCCCCGTCCCGCCCCTGACGTTTCCGAGTCGCTCTCTCGTTCGCTTCTTTTTTGTTGCCTTGATTCGCAATTGCAACCAGTAACAAAGCGTAAGGACCACTGGGCAAACAAGGACAAGTTTTTCGGCCGGCGGTGCGATTGATTTGGTGAAGGTCGGACTTTCCGACGCGTGGCGTGCGATCGACTGCGTGGCGGAACGCACCCTTTGCACCACCAAGAGGGCGGGCCCATCGTACGACTCACGGCACGGCCTCCAGTTGCTCGAGCACCATAGTACTGAAGTAGCCATCGGTTCCAAAAGGACCACCCGCTGCACCTGCTGAGCTTCCGCCTGTGAACAGGCAGGAAAAACAATTTGGCCACGCATGGGCAAACCTCTGTGTTGTCAAAACCCGTGCCCATGGCAGCCCAAGCGATCTGCGACCCAGCAGCTCCTGGTAGGTGGCTCGGGCCGCTTGGATTGAACAACTAAGATGAGATTCAGCTGTTCCGAGCGAAATTCATGGCCACACTTGGGCTCAACCAAGTTCAGTCTTCTCAAACATGGCAGTTCTGTCTTCAATTCGGTGATCCCCCCCACTAAAAACAACAACAGGAAAAGAACAATGGTTTCAAAAATGGTTTCCCAAGCCCATCTTTGGGCGCGCTCAAGAAAGGCACGCCCGGAGAAGCAACGCATCTCCGAGAAACCGCGGTTCGCTAGGCCCAGGACGGGGCTCAAGTTGGAACTGCCCGCCCCCTGGGTGCAGCAAGAGAGCAGGCGGATCGATCGGCGGCGGGGTGCGCGGATGCGTGGGCTTGTGTGTGTTTTTTTTTTGTTTTTTTCTTTTTCGCGAGGGTGCGCTTGTGGGCATGGTTGAAAGGAGGAAACAAGAAAGGAAGGCCAGCTTTTTGGGGGTCCCGCATTTTGACACATACAGAAATGTTGGGCAAATTGTTCAGCAACCCAATGGAAACCATACGGGAAGCCAAACGACCGTGGGCAGCATTCTGAGCACGCAAGGTGATGAGCTCGTTTGAGGTCCCTTGGAGATGCCTTCCGTTTGGTGAAGTAAATGCTACAAATGCCCAGACACATGTTAGTTTTTGTTCTTGCCGCATTTACTCTTTGTTTGGGGGATCCCCTTGTTAAGCGCGTCATTTTGCATGAACCTTTACACGCGGATAAGTGCGGTCCACCCGTAAAAAGAGTGTTTGGGTGCACTGCACCCAACCCCCAGCCCATCACCCAAGACATTTTCGGACAGGACAAGTCTAGCAACGAGAATGTTGTTGCAGGCCTTGCCATATTGCCGCGAGAGCTGCGGCGGCGATGATTGGGAGAAATCATGTGATGCAGCAAGGACTTGAGCAGGAAGGGAAAGGAACGATGACGATCCTTTTCAGAGAGTTTTAACGCCACTGGTTTAGTAGAGTGAGGTGACAGTAACTCATCCAGGAGGGTTCTGCTGCTTTTCTCACTGTTGCGACAGTCGGCCGCGGTCTTCTCCCTTGCAGCCCACACGCTTCATGGATTTGGGAAACGCTGGAGATCCAAGATCCATCTAATTAGAAAGGCTACATGAATGGTTGGCAGGGGGGGGCCAAATCCTGCCGCCTCCTTGCCAGTATGACTCATTGTCAGTGAAACACCTGCAAATTGAAGTTCTCCGTCTGTCGTTTCCGGGCAAGGACCTGGAACCAACGTGGAGGTGGAAAATGCCCGCACTTTCTGGGCATCCCCTGCAAGTGGCAAAGTAGTCCTGGATGGAACAGGAGCCAACTTCAGCTCCGTCATCCATCCACCATGTCTTTCCAAAGGGGCCTTGAGTCTTGGAAACGGAGCTGCCAGCCGTTCCCTGCGAATTTTGGCTTGCAGCGCGGCGCTTCAAAGCGCGGCCTGCGGGCTCGCGCCTCAGCTGGCTGGAGATGCCGGGGCGTTATCTCGGGAAACTGAACGGAGAGCGTTGGGTTTTCTTCCAGTTGCCCAGTGGCGCCCTGGTTTCCTTTTGTTTGGGAAGGGTTCAAACTCAACCAACCAAAAAGGATGCCCTTTTTCCCCATGGCTCTTTGGTAACAAATCTTTGGACTTTAATTTGACTTTTTGGCTGAAACACACAATTTTCCATTGGGCCCACGGCATGTTATTCTTTGTTCAGGGTCAACAGCCACCAAGTTTAGGGGGTTGCCCCATGACAAACCCAAGAAGTTGTTGATGGATGGTGACCTCACCGGGTTTTGGTCGCTGATGGTTCCTGAGTCTGAGTGGGAACTGTCACTTGGCGGTTGATTTCGCTTTTAAGCCAGCCCCAAGCAGGAAAAATGGTCAGCTGACTTCTGAGTGGTGGTTTGGATTCCCATTCAAGGAGGGTCAGCTGATTGTACTTCCAAGAATGACAAGTGGTGTTGCAGATCTTGATGAAGCTTTCGAATGAGGCCAGAGAGTTGTCTGGCTCTTTTGTTGTCCGATGTGCAGCATTGTTTGGATGGATGTTGCTTTCCACACCGCGCCAGGCTTGCAATGAAGACAGCAGCTTGGCGCATTGGCACCCACCCCACGTCCCCAAGACGAGGTCCTTCCGCAAGCCCCTCCTCCCCCCCGAACCCCACACTCAGCCACCGCAATCCCTGCTTCCTTTGGGAAGAAGTGCTGCCTGGGTCAAAGGCACAGGTGTGCCATGGTCAAGAGGGATGGTCATCCACATGGTAAGGATCTTTAGCCATTGTAAGAGGCAGGCTGGAGAGAAAAAGCCGCAACAAGGCATGTTGTTGGATTTGTCGAATCAGCACTGCAAGGCGCAGTGGAAATTGCGAGGCGCAAAATGGATTTGTTGTTCTCACCGACCTACATTGTCTTGGAGAGCCCCTTACTAGACTGCAGCTGTGGTCGGCTGTCAGTGGGACATGGGTTAGTCTAAAATGTGTCTTTAGTGCTACCTAGTTTTCCAGCTTAGAACTGCGAGATGTGGAGACTTGAAACAATATGTGTCAATTCTTGGGGTGCATTCTGTCATAGGGGAAGTGATGCAAAAACTCCACGTTCCCCACTCATCCTTGGAGAAGACTAAAGTAAAGTAGAACTGGGGTTCCTTCCCGCTTCCACCAACACGTTGGGGAGCTTCAGGTGGCAGTTCTGGCGTTGCTGGTCAGCGCGCGCTGCGCCAAGGCGAGGCCAATGGGCGCTTTTTTATTCCAGGCACAAGACATTCTAAAAATCTCCGGATCAGCAGCGGAAGATCTCAACTTCGCCCCCCTACTCCGAGCAAGACAGGTATTGGCGATGATGTCCTTTCATTAAAAAAAAAGGCTACTAGGGTGCCCCTACGACTTCACAGTTCCCAGAACTCTTCTAAGAGCCCCTTTCCGACGCTTTAAGAAGCTTTTTGTGGACCTTGAACATGATATCCACCGGTTCAGCTTGGAGGCCATGTCCCAGCCGCATTTGGACCTTTAACGTTTCCCGAGGCTTTCCTTCCTTTGGCTGCAGGGAAGTTGCATTTCCCATTCAAGGACAGCTTCTTCTTCTTTTTGGAAGAACCTTTGGCACCCGGCCGAGTTCCGATTAGTTTCGTCACTCAAAATGACAACTCCACTGAAAAGTGGTTGGTGGACATAGTTCCCCACCCAAATGATGTCCACCAAAGGGCCCCCAATAAAATTCATACCCAATGAAGCCCCTCGCTCTTTGACCCCCTTGGCCGTGAGTCGATCTCGAAGCTTTTGGCTGCCACTCACGTCGTTGCGGGTGAAACCGATCCGCCGTGAAACCGGAGGTCAGAAACTCCGGAGCTGCCCCCGAGGTCTCTGAGCAGGCAACGGGGGCCCGGTGCTTCGCCGATTCGCTTCGATCATGGCGGATCGAGAATCTTCCATTTGCTTAAGAATAGTTTGTTATTTTCCCCTGTTCGTTTTTAAGGGAATCTATCACTTTTGCTTTTTCCAGAGGGCCTAAGCAACTGGCAGGAATCGGGGTATCTGATGTTCAGCCCTATGAAAAACATGTGCAAACATGCCTGGTCAAGCACACAATTGACGAAGATGGACGAGGCGTCTCCAAAAAGCAATTCCACAACTATCCACGAAAAATCCCCCCCCCCAAACAAAGAACATAATAATGATTAACAATAATAAAGAAACAGACAGCTCCAGGACTTGCAGGCCAAACAAAAAAACAACACGAGCGAGCGATGGGTCGGGGTTGGCTAGGCCTTCCGTGGCCTGGACCGCAACCGGGACGGGGCCATCACCCCAGACGAGCTGGAGGCGGAGATCTTCGTGCCCCGACTGTTTGGATTTCCCCAATTTTTGCTCGCGATGCGCGGCAAAAAAGGCGAAGCCGAAGAGAGAAGGGAGAAAGAAACGAGGCCAATCGGCTTTGGTTGGGTTCGATTAGGGGTTTGATGAGTTTTTTTTTTGTGGGGGGGGGGGGGTTGAGGCCTGTATGGTAAGTCAACGGGGGATTGTTATTTGCTGAGATTGCGCAGGCCTCCAATTTGGGTGTAGTCTCATTTTGCTGAGACTACCTGGAGTCTCCATGACCCTTAAAAAATGGGGTCATTACCCAAAATAATGGGGTCATTGACCCATTTTTAAAGGGTCATGGAGACTCTAGGTATCTTTCTTGGTTTCAACCAGGACGCAAAGGAAAAACCGAAGCCGGTTGGTGGGTCCCCCAAAAAACATCGACGCAGCCCCTTGAGCGCCTGGCAGCTTGGCCTAAGGACTCCGCAGACGCGGGCGTCACCTGCCAGCCCCTCCGGCGCTAATCGGGTCGGTCGAGACATATGGGTCTGGGTGAAGAAAAAAACGACCTCACACTATGTGGGGAATATCCCTCCAACCACCTTGTTTCGGGCTGGTGAAATATTATAATTCACCGAGGTGGGTGCTGTAACAACGCGCTGGGCATGGGGTTGCGCCAGGGCCCCAAGACTCGTCTTCTTCTTTTTTTAGTTGGGGAAGGGGGGAAGGGGGGGACGGGGGGGAAGGGGGGGAAGGGTGGGGAAGGGGGGGAAGGAAAACAGGGGCGCGGGGGAGGGGGCTCTTTGGGGGTTCCATGGCAATTTTGGGAGGGGAATGTGTGGTTGGAGGAGCGCGGCTCATGTTTAGAGAGAATCCCGGAGTTGCAGCCGGTAGCCAGGGTCATCGGAGGCAACCTGCAGGTTGGTCTCAATCCCCTTTGGTTGACCGCCGGAAATCTCCATTTTTTTCCTTGAGTGGCAAGATGAAATTGTGGATTTCCTCCTCTTCAAGAAAGTTGCTCCGAGCCCGTCAAGGACTACCCCAGGTAGAACATCGGTCGGTTTTGTTTGGGCTTCGTTGGCAACCTATTCCAGGGTCCCGATTAATGTGCGATGTTCGGCTTGTTCGGCAGGCTTCCTTGGTCGCAGTGTGACTTTGTTGACATCGCTCAGGTGCAGAGGGCTCCCCAATCAGTTAGCCTCCTTTGATAAACATCACTAGGCTAACATGTCATTTCTGAAAATCCGCACGTGAGCCAAGTAAGGGAACGATTTGCAGCCGTCAGTTTGTAAGCCTTAAAGAAGGGGTATAGTCTTAGTATGTGCTGCCCACTTTTTTTTACATGGCTCCATTTTCTGGGATCCCGTCCCAGACATGGACTCGTGGCCAGCGGGTGGAAGGCAAGCAGCAAGCCCATGACCAGGGTTCCAGTTGGCCAAGGTAGAAACGGCTGTGGGTCAAAACTCTGTACCCCTGGTAAACATCAAAATAGGTGGTACATGGGTGTTCATCCGCCCCAAAATGGAGGCATAGGTTATGACCCATGGCCAAATGGAGATCAATGACCCCTGCAGTTTTAGTCTATCTTTGCCTGATCGCAAATCGGAACCCTGCTGAGTACTCCATGGTGACGGTGGAGCGGAGGCGTCTGCAGTAAGTACCAGAGGTGCCTGTTCTCCCGTTTTGGATGGACGCTGCTTTGTGTATGGCCCCATTTTTTGCGATTCCCCTCAAGGGCATGTTGGGGGCAATGCAATGACCGCGGTTCATTTTGCCACAGGCCGGAACCTCTTTGAGGGGGGGGGGTTCTGCTTCCCTGGCACCGGTGGGCGACGGACTCGACGGACATATTTAATCGAACTTGATCTGAGTTGTCATTCCCTGGCTGGGGCATAATTGTTTCTTTTCAAGTTTACCAATTATGGAAGCTTTTCAAGTTTACCAATTATGGAAGCATTTCAAGTTTACCAATTATGGAAGCATTTCAAGTTTACCAAGTATGGAAGCATTTCAAGTTGACCAAGTATGGAAGCATTCCAAGTTTACCACTCATGGAAGCATTTCAAGTTTACCAAGTATGGAAGCTTTTCCATGTGCCAGAATCGAAGCAGGACATGTTTGGTCAGGTGCAAAGGCGGAGGTAGGCTCAGTCGCGCGACTCAAGGAGTGAGTGTGTCATTTAGTGAAATGAATGCCGCGCCAGTTGTTCGGTGGGGATCCTGGATCGGATCAATGGGGCGGGATGCCTAGGTTCCATGCTTGTCCTGATGGATTCAAGATGAAACCAGGACGGCTTCGGGCTGTCGGCCGAGGGTCATGTTGGCTTCAGAAAGCAAATGGACGTTCCGTGTCCCAGTTTTAATCATGAGGCCTCGCAAACCGTGGATGCGGAAAAAGCTCCCATGGAGTAGATTGGAGCGCCTTCACACTTTCATGACACGGTGGCCTCACAAGCGAAGTTGTAGAGGCAGTCGGCCACATCCGCCTATACTTCAAAGTCAAAATGTTCGCTTGAAAGAAAGCTGCACGTGAGAAGGGAAACAAAGAGTGCAAATGCAGAGGAATAATGCCACATACAAAGAAACAAAAGAGCGCAAAGCGCAGAAATGATGTCTCAACTATCTGTCTGAAAGGAAGATCAGGACAGGAACACAAAAGGAGTTGACGTCGCACACAGTACAGCAATACTGCTTGGCAAGCTGCAAAGGGAACTTGTGGAGAGCGTCCAGGTTGCAATACGAGAGGAAAAGGATTGTCAGGACAGCATCTGTTTTAATCCAGCCCTCCAAGACATCGCTCTCGCAACTACAGGGCCTCACGGGGGCCAGCCTCGCTCGGGGCCTGCTGGGTTTGCCTTGTTTTTGAGGCAATGGTGTGGTTTGAAGTTCGAAGGGAAACCATGGAAACCAACAACCAAAGTTCAAAACGACGCCGGGCCTCATGTTCGGGTGCCTTGATTTTGAAACATTCCCATTTTTGCATCATGTTTGGCAGTGCTTAACCGTCGACCCTTGGCTGTTGGATAGGCTTAGGGGCTGATTCGTTTTTAGAGCTACGTACGTGGACGGGGTTTCAACTGTGTTTTTTTCATTGTTGACAAGTCATCTTGGATGAATCTTGATTGAGCTGCGGGGGAGGGGCGGAGAGCAAGGTTGTGGACAGTTTCTTGCCTGATCAGCCCTGATGTCGGAGGAGTGGGGAAGGAACTTGCAAGCTGGGCCACGGGCAATTGGGATCCTCCATTTGCTTAGGAATATTTTTTAATTTCCCCCTGTTGGTTTTAAAGGGAATCCATCACGACTGGAAATGTGTTCTTTTTTTCAGGGGTCTTAACCAAATGGAAAGATTTGGTTCACCCGTAATCCAAGGGCCAGGGGCAAAATTGTCTCAGGAAGTCGATTTGGATTGGTACGGACAGGCAAATTTGGTCCGGTTTCTACCTGTGGGGCAGTTCAGAAGGTTCTGAGCCGACGCAACGCCCTTGCCATGCACAGTCAGACAGAAAGAAGCAATTGCTCCAGCGCCAAGTTGATGCATGTGATCTTTCTGAAGTTCGTTCCGGGATGTTCAGAGTTCGCCCTTATTTTGTCTTACACAGGTCACCCCCCTGCAAGGTTGTATCATCAAAACACAACCGAGCCACCAGTTCTACCGTACACCCATTGGCTGAACCATTTGCGGCCAAGCGCTCCCCCGCTCCACCGCTCGAGCCGCGGAACCATGCGGCCATGCGCGCGGGTGGTCGGAACGTGACATCCTTCGCCTATGACCTGCATCGCTCGGTTCCTGCAGATCGGTGGTGCGTCACCTATTGGGATCTCGTTTTTCTGGGCCAGGAGGTTTCGTCTGCCCTTGGCCGTGGCGAGATTCAGCCTGGGCCAGAGGACGATACATCGCGGGCCTATGGGCCCAGCATTTACACGGTGAATGAACAATATATAAAGCCAGTGACAAAGGAGGCGGGCAAGATGAGTTGGGCATTGATGCGACATCCAGATGGCCTGCAGTGCGACTTGTTCATGAGCCATGCTTGGCAGGAAGGCATCTTTGAGTTTCTGGCCAAAGTGCAGCACAGTTGGCCATGGGGTCTGCGAACGGCTTGGTGCTGTATGTTGGCCAACCCGCAAAACCTGGACATCTCATTTTTTCTTCAGTCGCCCAAGACGTCGCCATTTGCGATTGCATTGCAGGCGTCAGAAGTCATGTTGGTGGTGCCAAACCGACACCAGAGCGTGTATGCCCGACTTTGGCGCCTGCCACGCAGGAAGTAGCCATTTGCAGATTTGCTGTCAAAATGCTATGTCAAAACACTTCCATTTGGTTAAGTTGTTTTTCCACTGTTGGTTTTACAGGGGATCTATCACTACTGGACACAGTTTAATTTTTTCCAGGGGACTTAAGCAAATGTTGGAACCCTAATTTGAAAAGGGGGGCGACCGTGGCCCAGGTGTGCTTACGAGGCTTATCTTGCCCAAGAAGAGGGCAAAACTATCCTCATTGCGCATTCCTCCAACCTCCATCAGGTGGGCAAATGAGTTGCGGTGCAAGACTTTTAAGGGTTCCGCATTGTTCCCCTAAAAGTGTCTCTACACTATGGGGGTTTTGCGGGAGCCGTGAAAGCTTGGTTCGATCGTTGTCCCCTTTGTGGCCTTTTGTGGGTTGGCTCGGACATAACGGTGTTCCTCGCGTAAGGGCTCGCAAAAAGGGGGACTGCGCGCTTCAGGTGCGCTCTGGCCCTGCCTGTGGCGCCTTGCGCTTTTTTTGCGGACTTTGGCTGCGCTCGATCGCTCTCGCCGCGGTGTGATTTTTTAACATCGAAGCCACACCCCCTGCGTACTCGCGCGGAGCATGATTTCGTGCGTCAAAAATCAACCCTGCGGAGTTTGGGCGCGTCGGATCGCTCTGGGTGTGGCACGGTGCAAAGTTCTAACATCCAAACTGAGCCCTCCCACATCAGGACCTCAATAGACAGACCCGTCTCGCAAGGCCCTGTATACAGTCCCAGGGTTTTCCCAGACGACGCTTGTGGGGTCCTGCGCAAGACCTTCTTGGGACCACAGGGAGCCAGCCGTCTGCAAGACCTAGTTGCAAGAGCTTCAATGCCTGGCCCATGGGTGCTTGTGCACCATCTCCGGCTGTTTGAAGTCTTGCGCAGGACCTCACAAGCGCATTCTCAAATTATCCTATTTTTCCTCTGAAGGAATCCTGCGCATGGCCTTCTCGATAGATCCTGTCTATATAGAGCCATGTTTCACGCATCTTACCACGCAGGAACCGCTGCAGTAAACATTGCTTGCCGCCCTAGTTTTCTCTTTGCGTTGTTTGGGGCCTCTTGCATGTGTGGTTTTCGCAGTTGGTCGTTGCTTTTGTGGATGGTAACCTTACTAGCTTGGGGGGCAAACAATCACGAGTCTTTGCGGAATGCTCTCCTGCTGAACCATCGCCCCAGGTGGTGCGCGCTTTGCGCTGGATGGCGTTGGCTGCCATCTTGGGTGCTGCTGTTGGCACCTGCGTGGCCAATCATGCCACCTTCAGCATATCCAACCTGGCCCACCTTCTCGTGGGGACGAGCCTCGTGATCCACAACGATGCCTTTCGGAGGGTCCTGCATCTGCTGGGTGCAATGATGTGCTGGGTTCACGTGGTCCGCGTAGCGACGCATCGCTCTGTGCATTTGTTTGGTGTTGACGAGGCGCTTGGGGACCCGCTCCCCAAGCAGAATTCACGTATGGATCGTCCGCAAGATGAACGCATAATTCATTGATTTGATGTCACGTAATACTGTTTTCTAGCGTGAACTTAGGAGAACACGCATAAGTCATCAGTAAGTCCTCATGGACTTATAGAAGTGCGTGTTTCTTGGTTGCTTTTTGGCGCTGATGACACGGCCCTTGCCTCTGCATCAGGTTCAAAGTTCGGACGATGCTGTTTTGCTCGGTGAAAGACCAGGTTTAGGATGCCTCATGGCTTGCATTCATGTTTTTAGCAGCTGCGCGGACATTGCTCGGCGGTTAGACGAATAGTTTGTCAAGGGGTTGCAACTGGCAGCCAGTTGTTATTGACACACATGGTTTGGAAGATTCTTTGTGCCCTGGCAGGGCCCACATGCGCTGCCTAGTCACGTATCCCGCATGCTTTGCGCGTGCTATTGGCTGATGACTTCGGGGACCTTCTGCGTCATGGAGGTGCCTTTGGCTGCGGCTGGCTGGCTGAGCTGACTTGGTTCTAGGGATTTGGTATTGCGGTTGTTGCACCGCCTCCCTCTGAAGGTGATCCCCCTAGAAAATCGACAAAACAGGAATTTTCGAATCACAATTGTCTGCAGGAAAGCGCTTGGGATGAAGGAACATGGCTGTGGGTCAAAAATAGGGTAACCCCAAATGGCACCCTGGTAAATGGAAACAACGAGCAAAACCTGCGGTCCCCTGGTGAATGAATTTTGACCCATACCCAAGCGCTTCTTGGGATGGAGAAACATGGTTCCCTGGTTCCTTTCATTGACCAACCCTGGAGGTGGACCGCGTCAATGCGAAATCGGCCGTGTCAGAAGCCAAAGACTTGCGACGGAATTACCAAGGCCTCGTTGCGACTTGAGGTCGAATTGGCTGTGGGTCAAAACTAATGGGATCCCATTTTGGGGTAGGTGCACCACCCATTTTAGTCTATTTTAGTGGGGATTGGGATGTTCACTGGGGGGTACGGGCTTTTGACCCATGGCCAATTGAGCCATCATCTTGCGTGGGACGTATTGGTTTATGAATCCTCTACTAGCGATCATCCCGCTGGATGAGATAGGGCTAGGTTTTCATTGCCCAAGTCAAACAGGAGTTCGCATCTCAGAAATTGTTGGTGGCTTCTGCTTAGAGATCCAGACCTTGAGTTGCCTTTTCAGTTTGGACATTGCAGGCTCCGTTCAGTATGCAACGTGTTCGCAAGAAGCAGATATTGTCAGTATTCGCCGAGAAATTGGGCACAATGTGCATCGCGTGGACCATGCCATTCACGTACTGTTGACCGCTGGCATGTCTACCCCAGCGCTAAGGGATATTGCTCGCTCGGTGGATATCGAACATGCAGCATTTGCGGAGCTGGCCGGGGCAGCGTTCTTGCTCGGACCTTTCGAATTGGTGTCTGTCGTTTTGACCTTTGCAGACCTAGTCCACAGCAGATGCATCTGGGGTCATGTCTTCCTCGCAGGCGTCTCTTTGCTGTCAAGGCTGATGCTCTTTGTGTGGCTCGCCCGGAGCCACTGGGATGAGCAGCGCTTCATTCTAAAGGTTATGAACAAGTACCTCTTTGTGTCAATCCTCGTGTGGCTGGGTTTGATGCTCAGCGTTCGCATCGGGGGCTTGAGCATGACCTCCTTGTACTTTCTGTGGCTTCTCACAACAGACCTCTGCCTGCTCTTCATGCTGTCGATTGCCCTCCTGGGGGTGCGGGGCTTGGCAAGGCTTCCCTGTGGTTGGCGAGTCCTACAGATCCTTTTCAGCAGAGGTGACTATGCGCGGAATGCTTTGAAGGCATCTTGGTCTGCTCATGCAACATTTTCAGCTTCATGGAGTTATTGTAGGAGGCCATAGTTGCGCAACCCCTGACCATACGCCAAACAAGACCAACCGAGGTGTTGAAAAGCAATGTTTCCCTGACTTGCCTCAGAAACCAAACGTTGAACCAGGCAGCTATATGGGTGTAAGGTGCAAGGATTCGCATAATAATTTATACTTGAGCTACCGGCTACCCGGTGGGTGGCATTAAATCTCACCGAAGAAAAAACAAAAACAATACAAGTTCAAAGAAACAGGTGAAACAAATTAAAGGGTTTCAACGTTGGTCCAAGCACACCACCCTGGCCAGCGGCGGCCACGCTGAGGCCTGCGCATGCAATTCCTGCGATTCCGAGCGGGAGCTGTCAGACGCGGATCGCAGCAGCACCGGGTCCTCTGGCTCCGGCTGGTTCTCCCGCAGCGGCAGCGGGCTGTGAGTCGCTCCCGGCCAAACGACGTGGACACGTTGATGAAAAGGTCCGTGACACCATGGGAGGTTTCCGGGAAAACTCCACCAAAAGAAGATATAATTACAGTCCCCCCGTTTTAAACGGGAAGACGCATATATTTGTTCATGAACTCCGGTGTGCGTGGTGGAATTTGGGCCTCCGCCACTTGCGGACGCCGCTTGGCACGTAGCACTCTTTTGTCTGCAAGCTCATGCATGGAGCTCTCGGAAACGGCCTCGAGAAGCCAAAGGGAGAACCCATGTCATCCAAAAGAGAAGAACAAAATGGGGTCCCGGGACATCCATTTGCATAGGGCATATGTTGTTATTTCCCCTGTTGGCTTTTCGAGGGAACCTATCACTAGTGGAAATATTTTATATTTAGGGGGCTTAAGCAAATGGAAGATGAAAAGGAGATGGGGTCCCAAAGCATTTTTGTTCATACGGAGCGTGGGAACCATCCAACTTTCTGAGAGCCCCGTTTCGAGAAACCATATGTCCTCTCTGACTCTTGGATGTGTCATTCGGTCCAACGAATCCATCTCTTAGATGGATGCATTGCCATGTTTTGTGCATTGCAATCATTGCAATCGCACTTCATTGCTATCGCATTTTAGAAGCGCTCGCCTTATCAACCCTCAAACCTAAACTAGCCATACCTAAACTTTCCCTCACGCCGCCCAACCTTACCAATGGCAGTATGCAGTCTCTCGCTTGTGGTTTGGGGGCCTGGTTGGCGTCTCTCTTCTTTGCCTCTCGCCCTAAATCAACCACCGCTTCCTTCCTAGGAGCTGCGGAGATTCTGGGGAACAACAACCGCGGCTGCTGCGACGAGACCTGCGGCATCCTCAGCGTGATTTCCCCTTCGGGCCGGAGTTGAGAAAAGTAGAGATGGTGATCGGACATGCCTCCAGTTTCGAGAGGGAAGCTTTCGTCGGGTGAGCTGGAGCTGGCTTGCACGCCCCAAAACAAGGTGGACCTGTCTTTGTTTTGCATGTTCTGTTGTGGCCACTTTCCACCTCCGTGACAGAATCTTTGGTGTAGCAAATGTCGGTTGCTTTGCGGCCGCTGGAAACTCCCAAGTCCCAGACATTGCCTATCTTGCACCGAGGCATGACGCAGGCTTGCAACCAGCTGGGTCTGAGACGGAGGTTGGGTCCCCCGGTAGCCGGGCGTCCGGTTGGGATTGTGCGTGAAGTTTGGGGTGGCATTTTTTGGAGGCATCTTTCAACAAGGCGGCTCTTCTTTCTTGAGGGCACTCCACGTTTGCCGTTGCTTGTTTGTTTGTTGTTGTTTTTTTTTCTCCGGGAAACCACAAGGACCCCTTTTTTGGGGTGCCCCCTAATTAGAGAGACCCATCCAGGGGAGGAAGGTCTCAATCAAAAAAGAAACCAAACTCAAAACAACGACAAAAAAACACCGCGCCCGAGCGCGCCACTGGCGCGCCAATGGCTCGCGGCGCTTCGACCGCGTCGCAGGCCGGACGCGGCGGAGGTTCTGCTGGCGGAGGGCGCCTGCTGCGAGGCGACCTGCGGGGGCTTCCAGTGCCCCAGCGGCTGGAAGGCGGTGACCCGGGACCTGGACGTGGCACGGGACCCGGGAGTGGGACCCGGAAAACCCCGGATCTTCCATTTGCAAAAGAGGCTAAATGTTGATCTCGGATTAATATTGGGGTGCGTTTCCCCGGTTTTAGTGGGGATGTATCACTTTTGGAGGGAAACACCCGCATATTAATAAACAGGGGTATATTAATCTGGGGTCAACATTAAGAATAGTTCCCCACCCGACAGGAAGGGGTTGTTAGATTTTATCTTGGAATCCGCGTTTGCGATGCTTCTACACCACCCCCCCCACCCAGTATCCCGCCAGAGCAGCCCCCCCCCGCCCCAGTGGATCCCATCCCGCCCGCCAGAGCAGATCCTCCCACGCCAGTGGATCCCGCCGAGTATCCCGCTGAGTATCCCACCAGAGTAGCTCGCCAGTGGATCCCGCCGAGTATCCCGCCAGAGCGGCTCGCCAGTGGATCCTGCCGAGCATCCCGCCCAGTATCCCGCCAGAGCAGCTCGCCAGTGGATCCCGCCGAGTATCCCGCCAGAGCTCCTCGCCAGTGGATCCTGCCGAGTATCCCACGCCAGTGGATCCCGCCGAGTATCCCGCTGAGTATCCCACCAGAGTAGCTCGCCGGTGGATCCCGCCGAGTATGCCGCCAGAGTAGCTCGCCAGTGGATCCCGCCGAGTATCCCGCCAGAGTAGCTCGCCAGTGGATCCCGCCGAGTATCCCACCAGAGCAGCCCGCCTTTGGATCGCGCCGAGCATCCTGCTGAGTATCCCGGACTAGCTCGTCAGTACATCCCGCCGAGTATCAAGCTGAGTTTGTCAGTGGATCCTGCCGAGTATCCGGCCAGTGTCGAGCCGGAGCATTCGACAGTGGATCCCGTCAGTATCCCGCCAGAGCAGCTCGCCAGTCTTGTTTTACTTATTGTCCCGCCCGGCGCACAGTTGGGTTTACATTTCATGTTGGTGCCTTCGTGTTTTGAGTGCGCCCTGAGGCTCGGAAAGGGTGATGCTTTTGTGTTGCTTTGGGTTGTGAATAAGCAACTTCGTTTAATCCCCCGTCGGGTTTCTTTTTGGAAGGGGCTTGGCTTTTGCTAGCGGAACCGATATTTGAGTTCTCGAGATCGGCTCGCAGACAAGTGGATTTGACACAGGCAGAGGGATAAGGCTCAAGCTTGTTGAGCAGTCATAGGCCCCAAGCCAGTCGAAAACCATGCTTGAATTCACACAACCGTGTTCACGGTCGTAAGCTCGTGAGTGTGGAGGGCGGGGATTGCTCGAAGCGAAGTATTTTTGTATTTGCCCTTTTAGTTTTAGAGGGAATCACTACTGGAGATGGGACGGACGTGGGACTCGTGGGTTTGACGTCGGGTCAAACTGAAACCTGGGAGAGTTGCTTCAAACAGTTTTTATGAGGGGGTGCCCAAGTTTTTTTTGGGGTTGGTGAACAAAAATGGGGCTGGTCGGTGTACGCGTTCTTGGAGGTGGGTGGAGAAAGGGAAACCGTGAAAGGAAGACCTGAGTTTTCGGAGGGTCCCAGCTATTTGGGTTTAGGGTCTTTATTGAGGTTCTTTGCTTCTCCTTTGGGATTCTTGGGAAAGCGTATTTATGGCCGTTTGCATCTGGAAGAGCCGTATGTTTTTTTTGGAAACTGGTTCTTGCCCATTGAACGTGCTGGGTAAGTGCTGTAAGTCGTCTCGGGTTGATCTAAGTCGTCGCAGAGTCGCGCGGCACTCGCGCCGGCAGCCCTTTTGTCGGGCGTTCCGGCCTGGAACCGGTTGTTTTTTACTAGCCCTGGCTTGGCTTAGCCCTGGGCGGGGGCTGGCTGATTGGTCCGGTTACTTGGTGTCAGGGCTGCGTATTAGCCGTGATGCGGTGGCAGTTAAGAGTTGCTCAGTTGGTTGGTTGGTTGGCTGGTTGGCTGTATCTCGGACTAGGGCTGCCTATTGGCTTTGATTTGGTGGCAGTTGAAAGTTGCTCGGGGCTGGCTTTGGGTGAGTTTTGGATTTTCTGAAGCTTGAATGAGAGCGGGTCTTGGGTTTGTTTGGCGTTTAATTGGGGTGATGGCAAGAGGAATGCAGTTGAACGCTTTGGCCTTGGGGGGGGCCAACAGAAAACACTATTTATGTTTGAAGGATAGGAACCGTTTAATTGCAGTGTGCCCAATAGAGTTTTGCCCGGGAAAGGTATTCAACATGAACCCAAACCAGTGAGTTTTGAGCATGTGCGTGCAGTGTGCGGTGAATTCTTGGGGTTGGTAACATCGCACTTCCAGTTCTGTGCCCATTGTGTTTTGCAGAAAATGGGGTGACTTAAATCGCATGGGGTGACTTAAGCGGATATGCGTAGTTCCAAGCGGCTGGGGATGGCTGGGGTGACTTAACGCGACGTGGGGTGACTTACGACGCCCGCTTGTATCGGATCAAGAATTGTTTCTCGGGCAAGGCTCTCTCAGACCCACTCGCCTCATTTTCTGTGCCCACGCTCTGGCATGGCCGCCTCGTTTGCGCCCGGTCAACGGACGGGTGCCAGGTTGGGATCATATGCAGCCAGGCCAAGAGCATTTCAGGTCCAAAACGGGGACTTACGTTCAGGGGAATGACGCTTTCAAGCTTGCCTCTTGGTGTCCCGGCAAAATGTTGTATAAATAAAGTAAGTGGACCCCGGATCCATCAACTTTGGTTTTTGGGCCGAGAAAACAGGATGACCTGCAAAATGCGAAAACGGACATCAAGCAGGGTTTTTATCAACCCTAGCAGGCTTCCATTACTCATTGGAGGGTGACGCTGGTAGTTTCATAGTCCCGTTTTCCTGACTTGTTTTTGACCTTTTGCCTTTCCCTTTTTGATCCATGTGTTTGTCATGGCCCCAAAAGGTTAACCTTTCATTTCTAGGTACCATAGGCGGCAACTGAGTTCGTGGTTGGACGATTCTTTGTGACTCGAAAAGTGTGGGTACGCAGGTATGTTTCAAAGCATGGAAGCCCTCCGATATTGGCACTTTGCTTTGGCTGTCCCTTCGAAGGAACCCTCAAAGGGAATACCCTCACAAGACACGCCCAAAGCTCCTTTGTGAGGTAATTTTCGACCTGCCCTGTCGCAGGCCAGAAGTGCTGCAAATGAGCCTCTCGGCAGCGAGCTTCGCAAAAGGTTTGCTTGAGGGCACGAGGCAGGGCGCATGGAACCAACTTGAAGGATATGACCATTTGCAGGTCCCCAGTAGTGCCCTCTTACCCTTTTTTTTGGGGAGGGCTCCCCTACTAAAATAGACTACAGCAAAAACGGTACCCTTCTTCTAACCTCTCTACTGGAGGACTAAGATTTAGGTGGTAAACATAAAAAGTGTGGTTACTTGTTCTGGCCAATGGAAGTGAGAACTAGGATACCGGGGGCCATTCCACTGCCGGTTTTTTCAGCTCAACTCAGCGGTTGGCTTACTCGAGTTTACCAGGAGAAGAATTGCGAAGGGATCGCCAGCTCGGGAGGTGTCCGTTCACTCAAGACATCACCCGTGAAAAACCAGAATCCAAGAATCCTAGCGGTTTTCTTCGGTATCGAGTTCCAAAGTCTGGGGCCTTTTTTGTGGGGGTAAACGTCACAGGTACTCAAAGGCACGCCGACCTTGATTTGTTTGGGTTTGGACCACTCTAGTAGCAAAATGCAGCAAACAAGTTTGTCCCTTTGGCTGATCCACAAAGAGCCTTGCGAAGTCGAGTTTCGCATAGTCAGATCTATTAAGTCTGGTTGCCATGTTTGACCTGTTTAGGCAAAAGTTGACGCAGATGTGCGCGCTTCCGCCGCAGCATGGGCCATCCGTGTCCCAGAGCTCCAGAAGATGTCTTGAGTGGTTCTCAAAATGATGTTTCGGCCACCCCCCTTCGGCTTTCAGGGCAGAGCATTTCTTTGTTTTGCCACCGGGCTTTGGACCCATCAGAACTCGGCCTTCCACCTTGTGTCAGTCGCGTCGATGAATCAGAGGCTTTTGGAATCTTTTGGAGCACTTGTTTTCTACGAAAGCTCCGGCATCGGCAAGCGAAAAGTCACCTGAGGATTGTGCAGCCGTCGCCGGACATTTGCTGCTATCGGACTTGCGAGCTGCATGTCTGCGACGCCGGATCCGACCTCACTTTGAGAGGCCGCAGGGCGAACAGGGGGCGGCGTGTTTTTTTTTTTTTTTGCGACCTGCGGTCGGGAAATGATTGCCGGAAAACCAACGGACATTTGTAGGGGTTTCCGGTTTCCGGGTTTCCGGACACGGGGTGAAAAAGAGAGGGCGCCTAGCCTTGTTTGGCCTTGCGGTAGTGCTGGTGGGGGCAGCTGACTCCTTGAAGTCGGTTTTTCTTAATTATCGGGCTCGCCAAGTAAGTAGAGGCTGCAGACTTCCGCAAGCCAGACGAACCTTCCAGCAATCTCCAAACCGACCCCCAAAGCACTCAACAGGGTTGCCCCGAGCCGATTCAAGAGGAAAGCCGCAACTGGGGTCTCCCAAATGATGTCGACGAACTATGAAACAAAATCGGAATCTTCCCGGCTGCTCATTGGCAGGTTTGGATTGATCTTGGGGATCTTCACGATTGTTGGCATGTTTCCTGTCTGTTTGGGTGAGTTTCTTTCATGGTTACCGGTTCTTGGTTCTGTTTCTTGGTTTCTTGGTTCTGTTCATCCTTAGCCCCTTTACAACCCCAAGGGTTTGTGTTTCTTGGTTTCGTTTTGCTACCATACTGTGGATGGACGAACTCCTGCACCACCTAAGAAAACCCCGGAATGATGATTCCAATGTAAATACCAACCAACCATGGTTTCCCATGGTTTCTGAGGTGGTGCACTGTTCATTGTTTCCAAGAAACAAGACCCAAGGTTCTGATATGTTCTGATGGTTGTCATGCATGCCCAAACCTATTCGTCGCTTGGTTGGTTATGTTGTTGGCTACCATACCAGCACCACCTAAGAAACCCTGGAATGAATGATGAAAACCGATGGTAAACACCAACCAATGGTTTCAACCGTGGTTTCTTGGTAACTGCGACATGGATTTCGCAATCCACAGTACCACGGGCGGCGCCCCGAGAGCGCCCCGAGAGCGCCCCCCGGGCGCGGCGCGAAGCGCCAGGCGACGCGGCGCTGGTGGCCGGCACCACGGACGACGACTGCTGCGTGAGCACATGCAGTACCTACAGCTGCAGCGCCATGGCGAAAATGACGGATTTTTGTTCCCCGGTGCCAAGTGGAGTTGTGTGACCCCTTTGTGTTGTTTTGTGTTTTGTGTTGGGTTGAAGTGTGTGGATCGAGCTTTTTGGGGTGTTCGCGGCAACAATGTAGCAAGCTCTTGGGTTGAAATATGTTTGGCGCTTTGTCTTCGTCATTTTCAGCATTTTGACCAGCAACGAGTTGCCTTCGCCTGCGGAAAATTCCAAGTCTAGCTACGTGGTCAGCCACAACAACAGGAGGGTGGCAACTGGGGGGGAATCTTCGTGTGGTGGCTTTCCAAACTTGCATCATATCCTTCAATTTGCTTAAGAATATTTATGTTTTTTTTTTTCCCTTGTTGGTTTTTGAAGGTAATTTATCACCACTGGATTTTTTGCATATTTTGATTCGCGGGCTGCGGATTATGTGGTTTCAAGATGAGATTGCGGTTGGCGGATTACGGAGGTACGGGGTGTAAAGATGTCCTATGCTCCATTCGGTGTTGACCCACAATTTGCAGATCGCGGAGTGCAAGGACTTTGCGATCATTACCAACCAGAACAAGGATTAAGCGGACGGATTCGCCCCCATGAATTTTGAACAGGCTTTAGTGAGGTTAGAGCCGGCAGGCTGATTGAATCCGGTTAGCTTTGACTTAGGCGGGTGCAATTGTAGTTCCCAAGCGGGGACCCAAGGCACGCAAAAGGAAATCCATTGGCCGTCGCTTTTTTATTGCCGGGCTTTCAATCCGTATCGGATACCTTTCGTGTTTCTGGCTTCTCGGTTTCCAATGAGTCGCACGGGGTGGTGTTCAAATACAACTAGGCCCCCAGTAGTGCCCTTTTACCCCTTTTTGGGGGAGGGTTCCCCTACTAAAATAGACTACAGGAAAAATGGCTACAGCAAAAAGGGTACCCTTATTCTAGCCTCTCTACTGGAGGACCTAGGCAATCATTAACCCCATACTTGGGCTACAAATCGATTCCATACCTTTTTGTTGTGTGGTTTTTGTTTGCATTGACGGATTGGGATTGGCCACTTGCTCAACCATTTCTGACGTCCGGACTGAGGTCAGAAGGGCTACATCCTGCCGCTCTGCGATAATTTTTGAAATGTTGGAAGGTGTCTCACCGTCCTTGGAATGTGCCGTGTGCGTTTGTTTGTGGTTGTGCCCGTGCTGTCCAAATTGTGTGAAGCTGCACCATCCGAACCCGTGAATCCAGTCGGATGAATTGGGAGTTGCAGGCACCACGAAATCAGCATCCAGAGGGGTTTTCGGATCAACCTTCCAGACACCGGTACCCCATGGAGCCTAAACATCTGCATGCGTGGGCCTTTGAACTTTGTGTTCAATGTTTCTGGTAGGGCAATAAGCATTACTAACATGATGCGACACGTACTCATGATGGCTTAGAGTGGCTTTAAAGTACCCCACTGGACGATTTGCAAGCTAAAGTGGGGGTAAAACGACCTCACCCATGAAGTTCACTTCCGGGTGCCCTTGTCGATGGCCCTTTGGGAGGCCCTTCCCAAAGCGCCCATGAATTCGGGTGCTCGTGAGCCAAGAAGCTAGAGTAGCACATATTAGCACCACTCTTGACCCCGGGATTCATGAGCCCCTCATATGAGCCCCCTGGTTGACTTTGATTGGGGGTGGTGTCCAACAACTTTTCGTAGGGATGCAGAAGCCACTTGGAGGGACCACCCCCCCCCACCCCCGCCCTATTCTATTTTGTAGAGCTGATTTAATCCGGGGTCAACATCAGGAAGCTCTTACATCGCCAGTCCAAGTAGGGGAAGCACCTAGCAGCCCCTTCACCTTGGGCTGCGTTCAGGCGCCTCGACGCCGGGGAGATCACTGGAGGCAGTTCAAATGCCTCGGGGAAGAAAAATCGATTCTGCTATACGCTAAGAAGGTCATGTCAGCGGGGTTCGACCGGTGGAAACTAGCCAGCCCACGCAGAATTACCATTTGCTTACCTAGGGGAATCAGCCGGCGGATTCTTTCTGTCCGGCGGATTCCGAAGCGAACACCCGTGAAAATGGTAGACTCCCTTTGGAAAGTTTTGCGGGGCAACCAAAGGAAGACCAAGAACCTTCTCACATGGACCCCAACACATGGGCCTGTTTGCGTTGGTTCCCCTTCGAGCCACTTGACCGCTTTTGGTGGGCATCAGCTGGTACTCTTCGCAACCCCAAGCCCAAGTGGGCGGGTCTTCTGTGACCATGGCACATATGGCTGTGGGTCAAAACCAATGGGATCCCATTTTGGGGGGGTGCGGGCTTTTGACCCACGGCCATATATGATGGCAGCCAAAGCAGCGAACCCTGGCCGCCCTGGCTGATTGTTTCACGCTCCTCAAAGGATACATCTAAAAACCACCTCTGCTTTACAAGGGAAGCGTCATCAGCTGGCAAAGGTTCATAGGCCCGACTATTTCATATGAAACTAGGTTCTGTGGAAGGCCAAAATCCTGCACCAATTGGTAGGTGGCTTTTCCCAATACTCACATTCATTCAAAGGGAATCATCCATTCCTGGTGCTGGAATTTGTCTATCCATGATTTGATCTGCGCTTGTAATGTGTGCTCGCCGATGAGTTTTTTGCCCAGCTCTCACGATAACAAGTCCCCACCAGGTACTAGGACCACGTGCCAAACTGCTCTTACGGCTCTTTCTCAAGACAGGAATCGGACCGCGAAATGGCCAGTTTTTGTTTTTTGGTTTCTCTTTTTTCTTCTTCTTTTTTCCCCGTGAACGGGCGTGGCGTGCCATAAATGTATCACATCAGGTAAGGACCCGCAATGAAAAACAGGCAAGGGCCTGATAGTTAATCCAATTCGGGTTGGAACTCCTTCAAAGAACTCGTTGATAGTTTCGGGCAGGCGAACCATGGACCATAATCTGGACAGTTGTTGTGCAGATTTGGTAAACACATGGGCGGTGTGTCCTGTTGAAAGTTGGCCCAGTTTTGGATGACCTTGAAAGGGGACACCAAGAGCAAGCCCACTAGTCAACCATCTCAAAAACAATCAATGGATCCTGCACAGGGGTCCCCTAGGAAAACGGTTTAGCAGAAGCAAGTCCCTGTGCAGGTTCCATGTTATTGGAGGATCTCCCAATTAGCAGCCAGTCCCTGTGCAGGTTCTATGGTTTGTTTGAAGGGTACCCTCCCACCAGCTAACATATGCTAACATGGAAGTGCACAGACCCCTGTAGAAAGACTACTTTCCTCTTGGAAAGGGCCTTTTTGCACTTCCATGTTAGTTGGTGGGAGGGCAACCCTATAGCTTTATGGTTTTTCTTGAAGGGTAACCCAACATTTTCCCGGCTTTGGGCCGTTTTCCCCGGCGAGCTCGTCCAGTCGATGCCCGGCGAGGGGTGGGCGGCAACAGCGACGCGGCGTGCTGCGCCAAGAGCTGCGCGCTCTTTCGGTGCGCGGGGCGCTTCAAGCAAGTGGCGCCACGGCAGGACGCGATGCTGCCAGTTGTTTGGGTGATGTTGGCCCAGGAGTAATAAATCCGTCCCAAGAAATATGGGGGGGAGCACCCTCCAAAAGTGTGGCGTTTTGCCAAGGGATGTGAGGACTTTAACTTTTTGCCAGCTAATGGGTTTTCCGAATCAAACCGCGAAAAGTGAAACTTTTTGCAGGGGTGCAGAAAGCCACCGAGAGTTTTTTGGGCGGGTGATGTTGACCCATCCCATAATTAAAAATTAGGGGGGGGTGAAAACCCCTCCAAAAGTGGTCTGAATCCCCGCTAAAAGGGGACACCCCCCTATCAATCAACCAGGGGGTTGTTAATCCAGGGTTACCCATTGTGGCGGTTTCTTTCTTCCATTTGCTTGCGCATATGTGTTGTTTTCCCCTGTTGGTATTTTCAAGGGAATCTATCACTACTGGAAATAGCTTATTTTGCTTGGGCTTCAGCAAGCAGTTGTTTCCTTTTTTCGAGTTGGTACACTCCCTCCGGCTAAGAGCCGGAAGGTTCTAGAAGGCCTTTGTAAATGGGTCACCAAGTCTTCGGGGGGGCGGGGGTCCGGTCTTTTTTCCCCAACAGCGGTCTCTTCCCAGATAGGCTCTAGGGGGGTCTTGGCTGTTGGGGATACCACCTACCTGGGCTTATTTTCGAGTTGGTACCCTTGTTTGCGCGTTTAGAGGAAACCAAAAGGAACGCCTCGATTTTTTTTTGGGGGGGGCGCCTAAAACCAGACACCGCCATTTGGATTTCGAGCGATTCGACCACACTTTGCTGTAGGTCCTTGACTGGTCCAATTCTGATTTCCGGTTTTTGAATTGTTGCTCACTCTTTGAGTCAAGGATTTGATACTTTCGGGGGGACTGTAGGAATGTCTTTGGTACCTGAAAAGGGTCCTTTTTGAGGTCAACCTTCTAAGGGAGGGCCTGACCTCCCCAATGCAGGGGCCCATGATGGTTAGGGACAGGAGCAACCAAAGGTTCAGACATAGTTTGAAGTACCGGACCAGTTGCCTACTGTCTCTTCGGTTTCTTCTGAAGGGCTGCCAGCACTCTAAGTCGCCAATTCAGGTTGACCTGCATTATGACCGCTGTTTAGCGCCTCTTCAGTTTGTTTGTCGAACGATTTCACCCCGAGTAACCCATGATGAAGGTGCTTTTCTAGTGTATCTTGGAAGCATTGAAGAAAGACCCTAAGACCCCCCCAGGCGCAGCCCCAGAACCAGTGAGGCTACCACCCGGATTTAGAACAACGGTCTAAGCTAGGCGGCCTTGCCAAGCCATCCTTGACTTCTGGTTTTGTTGTTTTTGGATCGACAGGCCTCCCATTGATCTTCGTGAGAAGCCACCACCACCAAGATGTGTTTTTAAAATTAGAATAGTTACATGCTGTTTCCCTTTCTGTTTTGGGTGGCCTCCCCACAACAAATGGGCGGCCCCAAAACAGATTCCTCTTGCCGGGGTTTCTGCGCAAGCGAGTTCCATTCCATTGTTGCTGTTTTCCTCATGGTCTTCCCACTTCTGCTCGGCTGGCTAAACGGCGGAAATCAGCAATGTCAACGTGCATGTAGAATCTCAAAAGGCGACAAGCAATCAGCGTGTTTTTGTGTGCATTTCAGGTGACCCTTAGTTGGTGGTTTGGATTGGTTTGGGCAGTTGAATTTCTGGTTCTTGAGGGTAAATGGGACACCACCCCTGGCCGCCAAACCACCGATTTGGCTCCAAGCCATCAATTAGAGGGGATCTGAGCATTTTGTGTTGGAAAGGAAGGCAACATGACACCGACGAGATCGATCATTTGGATGGGCCCCCCTCGAACACATCTCTTGACAATTTTTTGGGTAGCTGACTTGTCCTGTCGAAATGGGAGCACTCCAAAATCAGAGCTCTTGTTTTGATCCCTTCTGAACCGTCCCCAAGGGTACCAAGTCTCAAGAAATCGGAGGCTTGTTCAACACCGAAGATGTGGGGGCTGGCAAAACAGTCCAGGAATCATCCGTGGCTGCCACGCCCGGGGGTATCTTGGGTTTTCCGATTCCTTGGGCCTTGTCGCCTCAGAAAAGAGACGGGGCTTGAGAGCAATATTCCAAAAAGGGGCCCCAAAATTTGATGTAACTTTTCTCCCAGGGTGCTGAGAGTCCTCTTTTTTTTGGTGGTTTCCCTCATGGTGATGTAAAGGGCCTCTTGATCAATACCCAGATCACCCCCACGGTTCTCTTGGTCCCAGGATCCCTCGGCGCGCACTGAGGATAACCCCGCAGAAGTTGTCGGAGACACTGCAGAGGTGTGCTGCACTGCCGGGGTCGACTCCTGAAATGTTTCACCTGCTGGGCGGGGGGTTTCTGCGGTTGCTTGTTTATCAGGTAGTCCTTAATGGGTGAACAGGATTTGAAGCCCTGGTTCTTTCAGAGGCTTCATTGGATACCACTTTCAATCCTCCAAGCCACCGAGCTACACCAACCAGAGGGAAGTTGATGCTATGCCTTATGCCTTTCACAGGGCGCCGGCCACCCAGATCGAAGTGGCTCGGCATCTGCCATCTGTTGCCTTTGGAGAGGCGTGGCAAAAAAGTCCGGTGAGATCCGCGGCGGTGCAAGCTGTTTGCGCATGAGATGAAGCGAGATCAGCTGACCTGATCTTCAAATCCCCGAACTTTGTTCGTCGATTTCTGTGGCCGAAAAACTGAGACACTTTCTGGCCAGTCATTTGATCAAGTCGTTCTGAGCTGGAGTGGTTCACAAGGCAACAATGTTGACCCATCAACAACCCCCTCCCTCATCAACAAGGAGAGAGAGTCGCATCTTGGGCACCCACCACTTGGGCGGAAAACGGACCGTGAATCCAGCTGTGCTGTTGAAACCGGGATCAACGTCAATGTCAATAGCCATAATGTGACACGTTGCGGGGCATGGGGCATACTGGACCAAGGATGTTCAAAAGGTTGCCTCACCCTTTTTTCCTTTTTGTTTGGTGGCTGCCCCACTAGAAATGGTCTTCTCCAAAAAGGGTTCCCTTTTCTCCAGGGTCACTGAACAACTGAGTTGCGCAGAGCGAATCCGCCTTTTTGACATCTTTTGGTGTCCCGCCACTGCGCGGTTCCGAGCAGAGTTCGGCGCTTAATGTTGACCCAGGATTAATAAACCCGTCCCATTATTAGGGGGGTGAAAACTCCTCCAAAAGTGGTCTGAATTCGCACTAAAAGGGGACACCCCCCCTATTACTCAACCAGGGGTTTATTCATCCAGGATGAACATTGCCGTACACCAAACAGCCAGTCGGAATTGGCCTCTCAGACCGCCTTCCATGCTAGTGACTAGTGACTTAGTGGCGAAGAAGTTTGCCTCAAGCCGAAACTACACGGAACAATGGGGTATACCTTGCGAGCCCTCTAAAAGTGGTCCACCCCCCAAAAACTATGGGCCTCCGTTTCCAACCAGCCTTTAACACCGGATATACCCCACCAGCAGCTGAGTGGTTGATGTTGGGCTGTGCAGGTCGAAGCCGGGGCATTTCTACTTTGTGAACCCGGCGGGGTTGCCTGGAGAGCCGCGGGAACCTGCAGGCGGATTTGATTTGTTTCTCCTTCCGCTCAAAAATGAACGAAGGGCACCGGTTGGAGCCGAGTGGACCCCCTAAAATGCCGGGTTTCCTTTGGGTTCCCCTGCCAAAGCAGGGTACCTTCAAACGCAAACGCCCAAATGGAGTGTCACTTTTTCGGCCAACCTGACCGCAACGAGTTCCCTGTTAGGAGCAAAAGCAGCTTTCGCACCCAGGTGGATGTTTTTCCAGCGCCGGACCGGACTGGCTGAAGGGGCCGGCCAAGTTCTTTTTTTTTTTGGGGAGGGCGGGGCGACATTCTGCGAGTGGCTCTTGGGGGAAATTCGATGCCTGAAGCCTTTCGGTGCCAGACAGGTGGGAGGGGTGACATGGGAGGGCTTTCCCCAGAGACTATTTGCCTATTTGCCATTACTCTGGGCCCGGGATTACCCCGTTCTGATTGGAATCGGGGGTCCCATGTGGGTGTGTCTTTTTTTGGGGTACCCCTTTGGGTTGGATTGAAAGGGAAACCAGGGGAAAACCGATGCCATTTTGGGAGGTCTACCTAAAACAAGCCACGGCCATGTTAATGTTTCAGAGGGGACATTCGGATTTGAGTTTCACCTGGTAAATCCAACGGGTTTAAAATCCGTCAACATTTACAGCATTGCCTAAACGGCTGAAGAGCCGAGTCTGAATTGGCGACCTTACCTTGTTGGTTTGCGACCCCCAAGGCCAAAGGGAGCACAATAAATCGGGGTTGGACCAGGTGAATATCTAGCTTGACGGATGCCCGACGAGCGGGAAGTTCCATTGTATCCATCTCATCACATCTCACAAAGAGCTTGGCAGGGGTCAACCTTGTTCCGCATGGCCCTGACAAAACACATGTAGATTGTTTTTGGTCACCTTAGAACCAAAAGTGCCGGCGCCATAATGCGTTTGCCTGTATAGGTAGAGTAGGGAACCACCCTTTAGAAACAAGAGGAAAGTGACTGGTTAGCTGCAAGGGAAAACTGGGATCCACTGGGTAAAACAGGGGTCATGTAGAAGCCTTTTTGTCACCTCAGAACCAAAAGTGCCGGTTGCAGGTTGGCGAAAAGGGGTGGTAGGTTGTTCCCATGAGCGGCTCAACCGCTGGTTCGCCTTGGCTCGAGCTGGAGACCGGGCCCTCGCGTGAGCGAGGGGCTTGCCCCTTGGCTGGCATCGGCTGGGCGGCCATTCATGCAATTGATGCATGTGGTTCCATGTGTTTGATCCAAGGCCGTTTTTTTTGAAAGTGCAGCAAGTTGCATGTTTATCACAATGTGCATCCACATGCCCAGCAGCATGGAAGCTTAGCCAACATTACAAGGCCACATCCTCCCCCCGGTCGGATTTTTTAGGGAGCAGGGATATGATTTGCCTGCTTCGGGGGGAGGCCAGGCTTCAGCCGGGGAGGTGGCCATTGGTATATCGATACGGCAGGTGTTGGTAGGTCCCCTTTTCGGTTGGAGGCCCACCCTCGTCTCCTCAAAGGGAGGGGGGGCGTAGATTTGTTTTCCCAGCTGCCCAGCATGGACACATTTGGTGGTTTGGGCCAGGGACCGGGGGTGCGGTCGGTTGGGTTGGAACCCCTAGGAGCGTCAGTTTTGCCTTCTCGCTCCCCAAAAAGTGAGGCTTTCATTTTCCGGTGCTCGCGAGCGAGTGGCGCGGCACAGGGGCCGGCCCTGGGATTGATGTCGTGTATGACATTGCACGTGTGGGTGTCTAAATGGGCGGCTCGTCTTTTCAGGAACTGGGCCTCTCCAAAAAAACTTATATGGTGCAACGGCTTTCCTAAAGGGTTTCCCTTCAGCAACAGGTTCAACAGCAAAAAAGGGGTACCCTCAAAGAAGACGCACCCACATTGGCTGTGGGAAACGAAGTTGTTGTCCCAACCAAAGGAACTGAGTTCAAGTCCGTGAGGTAAGCAACTGGAACTCGTTATACGACGCAGGATCTCTCAAGTCGCTGCTTATGTTTTACATTGTAGAATCCAAGGGCCCCGGTGTGCCCCAGTTGTTATTCAGTGGCACCCGTTTACCCTTTGGTGGGTTCCCCCTCGTAAGATGGATGCAAGAAAGAAAAGCGGTTCCAATTCTTTTCGTTCGGGTCGGGCAACAGTCACTGTCAGACCCCAAACTCGCTCCGACCCCTCCAAAGCTGACAGACGCCCAACTCGCAAAGTGACGCGCGAAATTCGGCCTTTGCTTGAACCCCTTGGTCGTCCTTTGACCTTCCGAAGGATTTTCCGGTCCTTTGAGCCCCCAAAGGCCGAGACTCATTCCCAACCCGAGGTATAGAACCCCGCGTCCGGCTGTGCTGTGCGGAAAACTAGCTGCTTGGAACGTGGGAAATTTGCTGCTGCCGCTTTCTTTTTGTTGGGGGGGGAGGTGGTTTCAAAGGGAAGCCAAAGGAACACCATGTGTTGAAAAGCCCATGTTTGGATATGAGCACCGAAAACCATGGCCGTGTGAGGTGGGTTTGCTACCTGGCTTGGAGAGTAAGGGACAAAATGATTGGTCTTGTGGTTGCCTTGTTCAATGCGGGTCGCCGCACCCCCCCCCCCAAAAAGAGTCAGACCGATCCTAGGAGTACCGCAGTGGTTTAGTTGCTTGGTGGCTCCAAGCCGTTCCTTAGCTTTTTATGTAGTTGTTTTTAGATGGTCGAGTGGTAGCTTCCATTTAACCCACTAACAGTTAGTCACTTTTAGCAGGTCTGAGGCAAGCCCAGGTCGAGGTACTGCTTTGATGCCCAAGGAGGGCCCTGGGGTAATATACCCCCAGCCGGATGCCGTGCTTAACATTGACACGTCACAAGAGCCAGGTGCAAGGTTAGTTTGTTGATTTGTTGGTAGGCCCTTTGGCTGCCCAAATCCGCAAATGGGGTCTTGGGTGTGTGTTTTGGACGGAAGTCACCCACTTCCAACCCCGAAAATCAAATACTGCAAGTGGATAGTTGTGGGGCTTCCCCAAGAAAGCTTTCAAGTCTTCCCAAACGCCATCCGCAGCTTCCGAAATGATTGGAGTAGATCATCCTCTTCCCTGATTGGAGGGCTAGATCCGAAATCTTTATTTTCACCTTTTTGACAAAGCTGTTCACATCTTTTCAGAACGAAGTCAAGCGAAGCAGCTGGTGGCTTAACCTGTCCGAAAAACACCAGATTGGTGAAGAAAACGGAGGCTTACATGGCCCTGAAACAAAACGAGCATTTGGTGGAGGCAAAATGACTTTGGGGTGACTTCGATTGACACCAGCTCCCCAGTAGTGCCCTGGTACCATTTTTTTTTTTTTTGGGGGGGGGGGTTTTTGGTTGGGGTTTTGGGTTCCCCCTACTAAAGCAGACAGAAAGAAGTTGGCAGCAACTTCTTCTAACCTCTCTGGAGGACCTAGTTAGACAACCCAAACTCTCTGCACTCGGGACCCGGAAGCCCGACGCGATGTATCTGCTCAGCCTCTCTCTAATTGGTGGATTGGGTTGGTTTGGGATTTGAAGCCTCTCATTCTTGTACATGGGAAACCACCAAACCACCGGGCTCCAAACCACCAATATGCAGGACAAGCACATGCGGCATCCTTTGTTTGTCTCTTGACTAAAGTTGCAAACACTGTTCCACAAGGATGCCGGAGCTTGGGAACATTTGCGAGTTTACATTGCCACACCTCTAGCCCCGGACAACAGTGCTTGTTTCTCACGAAGGGCATGGGACGATCGACGACCGGGTGGCCTGAACTTGGATTCTCAGCCCGGCACATGTTATTTGATCTTGGGATCCTGCGGGTGGACAAAAAAACCATCGAAGAAACCCTGGAATGAGTCCATTCCCCCGTTACCAACAAAGGTTGTGGTTTCAACCATGGCTTCAAAGTGCTGCGACATGGATTTCTCTACGGCTATCTGGTTGGATCTTTAGACTTTTTGGATACCCCTCACATGTCATTCACCGCAAGACATTTCGCCACCATCCCTTAGTTCTGACTTAATTATGGGACATCCGCCCCAAAGGCTCCTTAAACTGGCCATGGGTTCAATAGACGTCCATACAATCAGCCTAATGATCTTTTGGGGCGAGTTGACTTAAATTGTCAAGTAACCCTGAATTGATGGTTTGGGGACACCCCCTCCAGAACACCACCAAACCACCGATTCAGTTCCAAACCACCAATTGGAGGGAAGCTGAAATTGAAAGGCTGCCCCCACCCCCCACCCTCCACCCCCCACCCTCCACCCAAAGAGTCTCCCAGATCTCTCGAGGACTTCGAACCTCGCTCTCCCCGATGGAGCGGCACGTCGTCGTTCGGTTGTGAGCTGCCCTTTGGGGCCGTGACTTTCCATGCTGCATAGGTTTCCGAGGGCACCCTTTAAAAACCAAGGGAACCAAGGGAACCCTGGGTTACTGTAGTAGGCAGCCAAGGGAACCCTGCGAAAACCCTAAGCAAAAACCCCAAAAGGAAAATGGTGGGTGACCTACACTAACTGGGATCCACTGGGAAACCGATGTCCTTAAGCTAGTTTGCTTGGACATCGATGAGTTTCACTGGGCTTAGATGGCCCCCTTGGCACCCAGACATTTTACAAAATCACCTATTCGAGGGAAGCGTTTGTAAGTAACAAATCTAGGCTCAGAAGCCAACAGTCAACAGGTTTTGGGCGCCCAAACTCTCGCAAGCTTGCGTGGGGCTTGGCAGAACCTTGCGGTGGCTTCTGTTGGCTTCTCTCGGGCATCTGGACCTGGCTCAGGGAGCAACCCTGGACCCCCAGCTGAAGACCATGTGCTTGTGCGTGGTCAGATCTTCTTGTTGCTCTATTGCAACAAGAAGGGCGAACCACACACATATATGTATGTATATATCTATATATATATACATACACATATGTCACACCTCAATCACACGCCTTTTTTCAGCTGCGCGGGTCGGCATTGGGAGTTTTAAGAAGACTGGGAGATTTGAAGATCCTGGGCTTGGCACCCAGCTGAGTGACTGTTGTGTGTCCCTTCTTCACGGGAGCCTTCTTGAGGCGAAAACAAAAGGGCGGGGACACCCAGCGAAGACCACCGGTTGTTGCATCCCCGAAAAGGAAAAGAGGCGCCCAAACAGTTGAAGTTGAAGACGGGCTTGGCGCACCTACTGAGTTGGCGCCCACGTTGCTTGGCGGCTCCCAGGCATGTCAACTTCGCTTCTTCTAGCGCTGTTTCGGCTTCTTAGTGGTTGGGTCTCCATGTGTCCCAGCAAAAGTTAGGGGATCTGAAAGCGGACAGCCCGGGTCGAGTTGAGGAGAAGAAACTGCAGAAGCAGGTGACCGGGGCGAGCGACACAGAGACCTGGAGCTTGGCGCCTGGACAGGAAATCCGTTGGAGCTGATCTTCCGTTTGCGAGCTCACCGCTTAAGGGGTGTAAAGGACGCGTTGTTTTGGTTTCCTTTTGTGGATGTTAAAGGGGATCGAATTCACTACTCGACATACTCTTGTTTTTGTTTTTTCTGGGAAACTGCAGCGAATGGAGGTTACGGGTCCCCCAAAAGGAGAGAAACTCTCTACACATGGGTGTTTTTTTTGTGGGTTCCGCGGCAAAATCTGCAGGTGGACTTCAGATTTTGGAGAAGGCAATTTGAGTGGTCCGAAATGAGAGGGAATGGCACCGACCATCGGTTTGGGTGTTCGCCAGGTTTTCGCAAGCTTTGGGGATACGGGCAGATAATCAAAGAGGCGAAGCTACCAGGGTCCTTCCGGAGTTTCCAAAGTCCGGAGTTTCCTCAGTCCACTGGGTGTGCGCGTGTTTTTGTTTTTTTGTTCCAGGGTCTCCTTTCTTGTGGGTTTCCCGCAAAAAAAAGAAGAAAGGAGCTCAGAGGAATTGACGCGGAGAGCCGGAGGAAGCCACAGGTGAGAATGCCAAGACATTGGGCTCGGTATCCGTTTCCGGATCGCCGGTTTTCTCTTTTGCCCCAAACCACAAGTTGAGTTCAGCCGGGCATCCCGTTTTGGGATGTGATCCCCATGTAAAGGATGCTCCCCCTTGGGATCAAGCACCACAGGCTTCTTATATGGGACCCCACATGGTGCGCCAGGCTGGTATCCCGGGAATGAGCCCTCCAACAAATGCAACGAATCATGGGAGGTTTCTTCTGTGCTGCGGGGATTATTGGCTGGGTTGACGACGGGCAGTGGGAAGCATGGCAGCGTTTCTCCGAACTTTCAACGCGGAATGCCGCTGGGTCTGTCTTTTCTAGGGTACCCATCTTTTGCGGCCTGAAGGGGAAGCCAAGAGGATACCACCCAATTGTTTCGGTCCCAGCCATCCGGCTCCATGGTTTGTTTTATGTTAGTTGTTCTGAGTTGGTGTAGTGGTGGTTTCCATTTAACCCACCCACGTTAGTCACTTTTGGCAGGGGATGTAAGCCAGTTTTGAACATCACTGCGATATTTTTTGTAGGGGGCGTATCGGGAGCGCTGTTTGCTGGAGGCAATTTCGTGGTGGTCTTGGAGAAATCATGTAGGGTGTTGTCTTCGGTCGGGCTAAGATTTGGATGTTGTGTTGGATCTATGCAGGTGATTGTTTATTTTGTTTTCTTGCGTATATGGTGTTTCGCTGGTTTGCTGGTTTGCTTGCTTGCTTGCTTGCTTGCTTGCTTGCTTGCTTGCTTGCTTGCTTGCTTGCCTGCCTGCCTGCCTGCCTTGCTTGCTTGCTTGCTTGCTTGCTTGCTTGCTTGCTTGCTTGCTTGCTTGCTTGCTTGCTTGCTTGCTTGCTTGCTTGCTTGCTTGCTTGCTTGCTTGCTTGCTTGCTTGCTTGTGTGTTTGTTGTTCATCTGTGGGTTTGCTTGTTTGTTTGTTTGTATGTTTGTTTCTGTTCTTGTTTGTATTTGTTTCTTTGTTGTGTGTTTGCCTGTTCGCTTGATTGCTTGCTTGGATGCTCTTTTTTTTTGCTTGCCTGCTCGCTTGCTTGGCTTTTTGTTTATTGGTGTGTGATTGTTTGTTTGTGGAATTCTATTGGTTCTCTTGTTTGGGTTTGCTTGTTTGCTTGTTTGCTTGTTTGCTTGTTTGCTTGTTTGTTTGCTTTGTTTGCTTTGTTTGGCTGCTTAGCTGCTTGCTAGTTGGTGGCTTGGTGGCTTGGTGGCTTGGTGGCTTGGCTGCTTGGCTGCTTGCTGGTTGGTGGGTAGGTTGGTTGGTTTGTTTGTTTGTTTGGTTGGTTTGTTGGTGGGTTGGTGGTGGGTTGGTCGGTTGGTCGGTTGGTCGGTCGGTTGGTAGGTTGGTTGTTTTGTTGATTGTTTCTTTTTTGTCCGTTTTTTGTTTTATTTGTGTGTGTGTGTGTTTTGTTTGTTTTCGTTTGTCTTGCCCGTTCTCCTTTCCTGCCTCGCCGGAGCTTTTGCCTGACGTACAAATGCAAGTCTTTGGGATGTTTCCCGGCGTGTTAGCCCAGGTTGCTCGGAGGAAGTTCATACCCCTGCAAGAAATACATGGACATGTGCTTGGTTGCCATGAGCATCACCATCCCAGTTTTCACAACCCCAAGTCCCAAGTTCCACATTTTTTTAAATCAGTGGTTGATCCCCCCAAGAAACCGAACGACAACGAAGAAACACCACTGAAGTTCATGAGTGGGGTAGCTGAGAGGCTCCTCTCGCGCTCTCCCTCGCAATTCGGTCCGTCCACTGCTCTCGCCCCGGCCCAGAAGTCTATGGCTCGCCTGAAAAGCCTCAGCACCATGAGCACCACGTCCTCCTTTGCACGCTCCTTTTCACGCCTGAGCACTTCGCCCCTGGAATTCGTCGACTTGGAAGATGAGGAGGAGCTGGATTGTTGGGGCGGACTGGGGCGGAAAATCAAAGGACTTCTTTTTCCGAGTGGGAGCTTTTTCAAAACAAGCAAGTTGCCGGGAGGGTCAAATTGCAGTGGGACGGGCTGACGAGGCAAAAAACAGCTTGTTGATATGGGTGGTGCAACTCGGCATCATGGAAGTATTTAGCCCCCACCAAAATTAAGCAGGTGCTTATAACCCAACGGGAGATCTGCTGAAGTAGGGGGCTTGCTGTGCCGGCTGCTCCTACTAACAGAGTAGGTAAATAGGTAGGGAGGTAGGTAGATAGATGGAGAGAGAGAGAGAGAAAGCGAGTGTAGTTCCTTTCCTTTCCTTCTTTTCATTCCTTTGCTTCCTTCCACTCTTTGGCGGGTTGGGCCACTTCGAATGGATGCAGGAACTGGAATTCAAGTTGGTTGTGAAGGCAACCTTCTTGGAGTATATTCCTGTGTCTTGGCAGACGCGACAAGGCACCTAGACCTTAGTGCCACTGTTTCGCTTCTATTGGATCTGGAACGGGGGGGCACGTGGGGTGTTTATGCGTGGGGTTTGTCGTGTGTGCGTGTGTGTGTCGTTTGGCGGTAATGTTGGACCTGCTTTGATGTGTCCCCTCCCCTCCCCTCCCCTCCCCTCCCCTCCCCTCCCCCCACCCGCCCGAATAGTGCACCAGTGATTTGGATCCTCTTATTGAACAGGGGGGGAGAGGGGAACACCCCCCTATCAACAAACAGGGGTTAATCAATCTGGGGTCAACATCAACCAACCTACCTTTACCAACGCTACAAATAGCGCACAGCAGGAGTCTGCAACCAAAACCTTCGCCTGGAGGGAGCTGAGCTCGGCTGTGCGGTGATCCTCCCGGGCCGCAGAGACCTCCCGCGCCGCAGACAGCGGCCAGCTAAATCGCAGAACAAACCTGCCCATGACACGAACATTTGCGACTCAAGCTTGCGCAGGAGCGCGCGGTCCTCTCAGCGCGTGTCAGCTTACAACAACCCCATTCAGCATGGGGCGCCTAAGCCAGCTTCTGGCGCGTAGCCGTGGATATGACTGATTTCGCAAACCAACGCACGACGTGAGGTTCTTGGGGCAAAAGCAGCGGCCAGTCAATCCACAATCTGGGAACCTGTCTGAAATCTGCCAAGCAGCTGCGAATCGCGAGCCGAGCCAACACTAATATGTAGCCGCCACAACGCAAAGCAAAATCACTTGCAAACATTCGCAACCTATGCTTCCATTTGCTTAAGTGTTTTTTATGTTTCATGTTTTTAATCCCCTGTTGGTTTTAAAGTGAATCTATCACTACTGGAAATATGTTTTTTTCAGCGGGCTTAAGCAAATGGAAGTATGGCAAGGGCCAAGCTGATGGCCTGCGGTTGCTCGTGCCATTCTCGGGAAAACTCTCGAGCATCGGACCTGCACTTGCCGCTTGCACGGCACGCAACGAATGTGGAGTTCGTGTGTTGCCAGCCCGCCCCTTTGACATCCTCAGTTGTTCAGTGGCATCCTTTGTCCTTTTTTTTGTGGCTGCCCCACAAAAAATGGTCTTCCCAAAACAGGGTTCCCTTTTTTCTCCAGGGTCACTCTCTCAACTTCTTTCTTTTTAGTCGGGGCATCTCCTGGCTCGCCCCTCGCTCCTTGCGCTTCTTGTTGTTGGTTGCTACAGCGGGGCATGGCCCCAACCATTCCTCAAATCCTAAGTGACGTTAGCCGCTGGGCTGTCAGATTCCTGAGAAATTGAGAAAACGTGTGGCGTGTGGGTTTGGTAAAGAATGGAATCCTGGGGTCAGCATTGCCAGGCGGGGTGCAAAACACTTTCTGTTGTAGAGTGCCCCACAGCAGTCCCAGCATCCTGAGTTAGGACATCAACTTTCCACAATAGACGGCCCATTTGACTCCTTTCGACTGGCTTCAAAAAGGACCCCAGAGGGAAGCCGAAATGTCATATTTGGCCATGGGGCATAACCTGTGGCTCCATTTTGGGGTGGATGAACATCCATTTGCCACCAATTTTGATGTTCACCAGGAGAACAGGGTTTTGACCCACAGCCATTTGTTTGGGGGGGGCTTCCTCATTCTGTTTGATTTCTTTGCTGGAAGTGGTCAACGTCAAAGGTTCCAGTTCTCTTTTTAAGGTCGCTGGCTTTGAGAGTATCTTAGATAACTTGTGCAGGGGGGGGGGCGTTTGCTTCCATTTGCTTAAGACTATGTTTGATTTCCCCCTGTCGGTTTTAGAGGGAATTTACCACTCTCGGGTTTTATTTTTACTTTTTCCGAGGGGGGCTTAAGCACATGGCAGTTCGGGCTTCCTCGTTTGTTGAAGCCACGCGCTCGCTCACCTCGAGGTTGAGGGCTCGCTGCCTCACTGCAAGAGCGATTCGTCCTTGGTGGTGAGCCAGTCGCGGCCGCCTTACGTCCATCCGACGGAAGCTGGTCGAGAGATTGAGTGTCTCGTGTTTGTCGAATTTGTTTTTATGGTTTTTGTTATTTTGTTATGTCATTTTTTTGCGGGAATCCGATCATCGCACAGCTGCCGCGTTGGGTTCTTTGATCATGTTGTTGTTGAACATGGGGTTGTTCTGTTTAACCAGCACATCAACTTCAATTCTGGAAACCAAAGTGGGACCTCGGAGCCTGCCCAGCGTACCAAATGCTGCGTTGCTTTCTTGGCTGAAACTGCGCCGGGGGGAGGCTTTGCGCAAAAAGGAACATTGGAGTTGGGGCACGCCCATCTCCGCGTCCGGTTTTGTGCTCAGGGTTCTCTATTACTTTTCCGGTGGTTTTGATCATCTTTGGGTTGCCAAGCTGTGAGGTTCCTTGGGGATGCTTAGAGCAAAATTCCAGAAAATGCTGAGGTGGTCGGCTTTAGCCCTTGCTTTGGCCGGAGCATGTGCCAGCTCTGGGGATTTTGTCCGTACTTGAGCACAACGCGGTGGCACTACATGGGGATCCTGCCTGGATTCATTGGGATTGTAGTCCTATATGAACCATTGCGACCACTTCAGAACCAAGAGTCAGCGGGCTTTGGGTTCTATGAGAATCAACCGCAACTCACCCAATGCATGAACCGGGTTGTCCCGGTACAAGGGGCATAGTTCTATAGAGGTCTCCACTTGTTTTTGTTGTTTTCTTCAAGTCGGGATGCACCATGGGTGCGAGAGAGGGAGCCACACGGAATACACGCCCAAGTTGGCAAGTGTTCATGATTAGTGGGGATACTTCAGTATTATTTGCATGTTGGTTTTTGTTTTAGCTTCTTGGTTCAGCAATGCATCCATACCGAGGATAGGGAAGGACAGCTGCTGGTTCGTTTGTTCGCAGTCCCTTTTCGCAGAAAGTTTCAAGGCTGCTGCGGGATGTTCCAACTACCACTGGTACACTTGTTTGAAAACACATGTCAATTTCACCATGGTGTCATCAAGATCCAGTTTCAGTTGGGACACTGCATTTGTTGTTTACCCTTTTTGGGGTTAACAGTGAAACCCATATTTTTTGGGCCCAATTTTGAGAAAGACCTCTCGGATGCTCATGTTATGATTGGCCTTAGCGACCGGAACAATGGGCTCGATTCGGATGTTCCCGAAAGATGTCTCCCTTTGGGCGGCATTTGGTCTTTTGCAGGATCAACTGGTCATCCACCGGAATCTGTGTGGGACTCCAAATCTGTTTTGGCTTCCATGCTGAATTATGGGGAGCAACCTTGGGCCAACAGGAACTCGTTTGTCTGAACCCGTGGGTGTGTTCCACCGATCCACCGACCTTGAGCCGGTTTCTTTGGCATCACCCTGGCACGCGGGGACTTTTTTTTCTGGTGCCGAGGCCGTGTTGAGCCTTCGATTTGTCCACCCCAGCATGGAATCATTCTTCTCGTTGGAAGACCTCAGTTGTTCAGTGGCACCCTTTTCCCTTGTTTTATAGTGGCTGCCCCCGCTGAAATGGTCTTCCCGCAAAAGCGTTCCCTTTTTTTCTCCAAGGTCACTGAACAACTGAGCTTCTGGAAACAGAACTGGTGGAAACCTCCCCCGGAATTCGCACTCTCCACACCTACCTAGCCTCCCCCGAATCGGAGCCTCCTGCCCTTCTCCCAGGATGGCACCGACCTCCGTGCAGCAGAGTCAGAAACAGAACTGCCGGAGGGAGTGCCCTCAGTGGGATCGATGTTGCACGAGCTGCAGCGGTGCCGACCCTGTGCATGGCCCCTTGGGGCGATTGAGTCAGATACGGCCTCAAACTATGGGTGTGTCTGGTTTTAGGGGGACCCCCCAAGAAAAGAGCGGCAAGAAACGACAAAATAATTATACGGCTTTTGTTGTGGTGTCCGTTTCCGACCACGAAACAAAAGAGAAAAACAACAGGTACCACACACCCAAATAGGGAGAATAGGGGTTCCCTTCCCCCACTAACATGGCACTTGCCAGAAGGTCCCGAAAACGATGGCATATGTTTTTCATGTAGCCTTGAGGTGCTCTTTTTGAAGACATGCCCCGATGGATTGTTTCGCATCAGCTGCATTATTCAACCTTCGTCTTTGGAAACCAGCTTGGGGATTTCAACCTTCTAGCGTGGTTTTATGGGACACCCCAAGCCTGGGCCGATTTCGGTCTGCTGGTTTCTTGTGCGAGTCATGAGTTCGCTACACGTCAACCTGATTATTCCAGGACGCCCTACTAATCCGACGAACCCCTAAAATAGCTCGGTTCCTTTCAACCAGGGAACCGCTCCTGTCCATGGAGCCTTATGCCAGATGGTTGCTTGTGCAAAAAGGTGTTGGGGATCCTTGGAACAACCGACCACCTCCCAAGAGCTCCTGGTCGGGGATTGCTTTCCGGCCGTGGTTTGCGTTTGGCAGGCTTTAATCAAGCACATGAGCAACTTAGATCGCGGAAAGCAAACGAGAGACTGGGTGTTGTGACCATGTGTGTGTGTGTTCTGCTTGGGCTTTCCCACGCCGGCCGTCCGTAAATGATCTCACCGTTTAAGCTTCCCTTGGTCGATTTTGGCAACAATTTGCGTATAGCGAATCTGGAAAGCATGCAAGACATCCTGCTTCCAACCAAAAAACTGAAGCTGGCAGGCTGGCAGAGGGTTTTTGGAGCACTACTTTTTCCTTTTGGGGTGCACTCCGGGTGTTGGACAGAGGGTATTGCTTTTGGTTTCCTTTCGCAGCAAATGGGCGAACCATCCCAATGCTCCGGGCTGGTTGGGCACAGCTTCGCGCGCGCTTCTGTGGGGCCCCGGGCCGCTGGACCCGCGTTTTTTTTTTTTTTTTTGAGGGGGGACCAAGAAAAACCGAAAGAAAAACCCTGGAGAGGTTAAACCTTAGCTGGAAAGAAACGCAGGAACTCGCAGCCCAGGTTTTGGAAGCCTAAGGGCTGCGCGAACGGCTCCAGTTGCAGGCACTGCCACTTGTGCCCTGCAGGCGGGGTGTGTGGGGGTGAGATGTCACGAGGTTTCGGTCATTTGTCTTTTTTCTTGCTGGCTCGATAGGCAGGGAATGGGCTGGAATGACCCCGCAAAAACACCATCCCCTATGGTTTCCTTCAAGGGAATTACTAGATTCATTCCCCACACCCTGGGTCATTCCCTACTGAGCACCAGCAAGTCTTAGAAGCTGCTGAAACGGCTGACTCGGCTCCGTTTGGCTGGCTGTGTAGCTTGTTTGCGCATTGCGCAGGGTGACAATGAGGCAGTTTCAACGGACACCTTCAGTCAGCTATCCAGTGACCGCGACGAGGTTCGCAAATTATAGCGAGGGGCTTGTGATTCCCAGCTGACGTCCTTCACAGAGGTAAGTCTCAATGCCTCAAGGCACCTGACGATTGTCTGATCGCATACCCACTTGCAGGTTGTTTGGGTTTGACATGTTTGGGGAAATCCTGGACATGTTGGTTTCATTTTTTGGGCTTGGCCAACCATTCCGGACATCTTCGCCCGGAGTCTTCTCAAAGTGGGGTTTCCTTTGGCAGAATGTTTTCTCCATCGGCTGCCTTGGGCGATGCGAGGCGAGCTGACGCGACAGAGGAAGGTACATCGATGCATGGCAAGGCAGAGGACGGGGTCCGAGGTTTCCCAGCCAGCCGGATTCCTTATGGGGGCTCAGCCAGGGGGTTCCTTGGGGGCTCAACCAGAGGTACTCAGAATGGCTTGGTAAATGGAAACCAAGACTGAAACCTACGATTTTTTTCAAAGCGGCGGCATGAATTTTGAGCCACGCACCCCTTAATGTTGATATCCGCGGGTCTGTGATGGCCATTGCGGGCTTGCGAGCTCAGGTCCGGAGCCGGACTTGAAGCTTGTTGGGAAGACCCTTTGAGTGGTAAGCAACAAATGAGCCACGTGCTCAAATCCCGGGGATTGATGAAGGTTAGCAAGGGACAATCCCCTTGCCATAATTAGCTGCGGATATCCGCCTTCTTAATTCTTGAAATGGGTCTGGGTCGACCATTTTAATACCGGGCTTTGATTATGACTCAAGTGTGGCTACTTTTTTTGCCCATCCACGCAGGAGTGACGAAATCAACATGGACGTATTCTGGAACCCTTTGTCCAAGCTGCCTCGGGAAGGGGCAAAAGGTTAGCCAAAGGCATCGCGTAGCTTACCAAAATGGTAAAAATAGGGGACGCCCCCCCAAAAATAAACAAAAAGGATAAGAACCAGACAAAAGTTGTTTGCCTGCTGGTTTTCTTTGAAACCACTTCCAACATAAGGGTCACTGAGCTGCGTTGAGGATCCTGCTCAAACGAGTCAGCTGCTCAAATTGTGCTTCCCCTCTCGCCTGTTGGTCAGAATTCTGGCTCTCACTTCAAGGTGGCACAGTTGTCAGGGAGCCTACGCAACTGCGTTCGCCTCCCCAGTTTGCACAACACCGGTCGGTCTCTCAAAGTTCGGCTTGTGCTTTTGTGGCAAAGCCTTTCTTGGAAGTTGAACAAACCCACTTTTCAGGGGTTATGTTCCTTTTAACTTCCTCTTCGGGTGCAGTGCATGAGAATTCCATTGCCAATACATTTGGCTCAAGGCTGAGTGAAAAGCGTGATTGCACTCGCTGGCGCCATTTGCTCGATTCACTTGAATCGCTTGTGTTTTGGGCATTTCAACTGGTTATCAGCCGTAAGGCTCGGACTACCTGATCACGCACCTTATTAGCAGTTACAACGGCTGACGAGGAGAGACCCGCCCGCACCCGAGGCATCAGGTCGGGGAAAGGGGCGAGGAGACGTCGCGACGCTTTTGTCTCTCATCAGGTTGCGCAAGGAACTCCGAGGGAAGAGGTTCTGGTGGTCCACGCGGACGGGTCGAACAGGCCGCTGGGCACGAGCTCTTCCTGGGGTGAGGAACAAGAGGAGTTTGAAGAGATTGTGATCGAGGAGGAGGCATCCCCAGCTGCAGGAGGTTTGGCGGATTCGGAGGAGTTTGCTGTTGACTTGGGAACAGGAGGTGAGCTTCTTGTTTCGTCATCGTCTCGGCGGGGCCTGCCGACGTTTGACAATTCTGCAAGCTCGGGAGCTCACTTTTCGGTTCAATCAGCAGACACCTTTCCGTGGCGGTTGCCTTTGCCTCCGCCTGAAGATCCTCCTCCTTCAGAGCCTGTTGGCACACCGGAGCTTTGGGTATCATCAGAGTCTGAGGGTGAAGCGCCGGTGGTTGCGCCTCCATCTCGCATTTCGCGACCTTCGAAGAGCAGGAAGCTTTTGGAACGGGAGGCTGCAGCGAGGGGGGCTGAACCATCGAGCTCCTCATTCAGGACATCTCAGATTTGGTTTCAGGGCTCTAGGAGTTCGCCATCCACTTCTGAGGTGGGATCAAGGCCCAAGGCATCTCAAGCCATCAGCGGTCTCAGGCCACATACAACAGCGCCTACGGGGAATATTGGACAGACTTTAGCAGTTGCGCGTCCTCCGTCAATCTCGGAGGCTGAGCGTGAACGGATTTTGAGCAAGGCTCTGATTCACTTCTGCAGGGGTCCTGGTCCTCTTCCTCCGTCTCGAGCAGCTACAATTGCAAAGGACGCACGGGCGATTGTTTTTGTGGATTATCATCAAGTGAGCGATTGTTTCAGAGTGTCAGCACGGGAGCGATATTACAACAGGCCGGACGGATCCTTTTGTGACCAGACTCTTGGTGCTCTGAACACCATTGCCGCAGGGCTACCGGAGAATTGTTTCTTGGCTCAGCTCTCATATATTCCAAAGGATCGCCGCTCTGGTACAATTCAGGGGAACAGCAACTACGGACCAGCACGCGCCGCTGCCGAGCATTTGGAGCGAAGGACGCCTTTCAACTTTTTGATCTACACTCCGGAGAGATCTGGATCTGGTGGAAAGTTGGAGGTCGCTCGGGCATTTGCTCCAAGGGCGGAATTGCTGATCTTGATAGACGACGGGAGTGACGCCCTTCAAGAGTTCTCTGAGTTTGAGCGCGGTGCCGCAATTGGGATCAGGCTGCCCAGGAAACCGACTGCACCGAGTGTCAGGTACGTGACCAATCTTGCAGAAGCGGCTGAACATTGCCTTGCTTACTTCCAGTGATCTACGGTGAATTTGCATTGCAAAAGTGTGCTGCCGCCTCTGTCATCTAGGTGCACGATCATCATCATTTCCATCTGCCACTCTGTGTTAGCCTCCCTAAGTGAGTAAGCTAAATCAGGTATTCCCTAATGAGTGAAGAGACCAGCATGGAGTTGTCAAGTAGCTCAAGGTCAGTGCCAGCCATGCCAGGGGCGATTCGGTCATCCAGTAGGAGCCGTTCAATCTCATCAGGGAGCCCGTACGGAAATCGGGAAGCTGGGATTGTTGAAATTGGTTCGGGTCACACGGATGTCGTGGATCCCTCTGTTGCAACTCCTGATCGTGACGCTGCTAGTCAACCTTCAACCCACGTGCAACAGCTGCTTTGACTAGGGATGAATCTCAGCAGAATCTCTTCCAGACTGTGAATGCGCAAGTGAACGTTGGTGTAGACCCACTAGCGGTAGCTGACATGCTTCAACATGCACGCCAAGCTGTCGAAAGTGCTAGCCAGCAATCGCAAAGAGCCGATGATGCAGAACTAAGGGCTCATCAGATCTATGTTGAGGCCCTATCCACCATAGGAGGTTTGAGGGACCAAGTGTTGCAACTTTCTTCCGTGGTTGAAGGTCTGCAACGCGACAATCAACAGCTAGGGCAACGGCTGGAACAAATGCAGAGAGAAGCATCGAGACACATCCAAGCCCGTGAGGCCGAGATCTCCCGGCTCCGTTTGGCTGCTACACGCGCCGCGGATGCTCAGGGGGGCAACTCGGCTGAAGTGTTCTCGATCGCAACTCCTCCGGTAGATGCCCAAACGCCTGTTGAAACGGTCGGGGATGCCCACGAACCTTTTGCGGACGGTTCTCATGTTGGCCAAATTCTGGAAGCCATCTCAAAGCTGTCAGACCGAATCAATGCAATTGAAAACAGTGGCCAAAATAGCGCGGTTCCAACCCAAATTAGTAATATCCAAAAGAGATCGGTAGATCCTCCCACGCATGCGCTTGGAAGTTCAATTCCTTCAATTGTGGAGCGGGATGTCATTGATTCAAAGGCTCTTCAGCATTTGAAGATTGAGCCGATCCCAGATAACGCTGCGGCCTTCCGGTCATGGAAGAATGCACTTATCCTGTCCTGTGCCAAGTGTGACACCAGTGGTACCGATGCCATCACAAAATGGATCAACGTGTCTTTCTCCGGAGATCTAAGCCACCTTGATGAAACAAGTGATGGGTTCCCTCGCTTTGATAGGTGGCTTGCTTCCGAATTGACTTCCACAAGGTCCTTGAGAGTAGTGCCTAGCATTGCTGTCAAAGTGAATGGCTACATCGAGAAATGCACACGTGATGGGAAGGCACCCCGTGGTAGATTCATCCTTGCTACAATTGCTAAGCATTTTGACTTGGATAGAGCGCGAGGTTCAATGTTGACTGCATCTGCCTTGCTTTCCTTGGAACCTGCGGGTCTTGGAGTTGCTCAGGTGCAAGACTTTGCCAGCAAAGTCACACAGACAATGTCAGCTGTTCCCAGTGATGAGCTCCCATCAGATCGCCTTCTTGGGGAATGGTTGTTCAGCAAGGTCAGGAACTTCAGGAAGCTCGAACGCCACATTGAGAATATCAAGGATTCCCCAAAGGACAGCACGATGCGTGGTTTTGACTTCCTGTGGAGTAAACTCCAGGACACCCTTAGTTATGAACGTGAAGATCTAAATGCTAAGGATGTTCAAGATCACTCTCGTAAGATGTCCCCTGGTGTAAAAGCCTCTGGGGTTCCGGCTCCAAAGACCCCATCACCGTCACCGCCCACTCCAAAAGGCGCAGGATCGCCTCCGTCCTTGCCCTCTGGCTTGGCTGCTTATGCGCCTCCAGGTGGGAAGGGCGGGGATGACAGCCCGTCAAAGAAGAAGGGAAAGGGCAAAGGAAAGAAAGGCACGCCCTTGACTAAAGAGCAAAAGGCTCAAAAGCGTCATCATGGGGAGAAGTGTGAATATGCTCATGTCAAGACTGGCACCAAGCCTAGTGCTAAGCCTGCAGCAGCAAAGCCAAAGCCCAAAGCGATGCCAGCATTCGCTGTGGCCATGATTGCATCCGCCATGGCGGGAGTGTCTCAGGCCGCCAATGCTGTCACCGTTGAGTGGGGAGCCGATACGTGCGCTGGGAGGCATTTGGCCTCCAGTAAAGCCTTGGGTTCGCAAGGCATTCCGTCATCCATGTACAACTCATGCATTGGTGCCTCGTCAGACCCCATTGCCTTCGCAACAGGGGGGGGGCACCAAGTATGGGAACGATACTCTCAATTTGCACATGAATGGTTGGGGTGTTGCCAATTGTTACATGCTTGAGGATTGCCCAATCGTGAGATCTGTTGGTCTTGATGTTGAAAGTGACGGCAAAGCATTTGTTTGGTTGCCCGGTCAGCTGCCCTACTTTGCCAAGAATGCCTCAGAAATCAAGGTTGTGTGCAGTGAAGAAAACAAACTTTATGCGCACAGGGTTGAGGAAAATGTGCCGATCTTCAGGTCAACGGTCCAATTCGCTCAAGGAATGGCTGCACATGTTGCCTCCGAATCCGCAGCAGACAGCATGCGTGTGGAACCTCCAGCAAGTGTGCCTGACCCTGTAGATGCTCCGGCATCATCAAGTGTTGCTCCAGCGCCCCCGCCGTCAGTGGCCGAAGCACCCAAGGAAGCCCCCTCGCACATTGAGCGTGTTCGCATTGAGGCTTCAAGTCAACAACATCAATTGAGTCACTTCCCGAAGAATCCGTTCTGTGACATTTGCAACCAGGCGAAGCTTTACGCGAAAAGGGTGAGGTCAAAGAGGATTGAACCTATTGACCTGCCCGAGCCTGCTGCATTTGGGCAACAATTGGCCTTGGACCACTTGATAGTTCACAAAACAGCGAGCTCCAATAAGGAATTTGTTGTGCTACTTGTGCGGGATATGTTCTCGAAAGTCCTTCAGGCTTACCCTTCCACCACGAAGAACTCAGACCATGTCTACCAATCACTCAAGAAGTTCGTTGGGGTAGCGCTAGCTAAGAACCCGGAACTTATCGTCAAATCCGATCAGGCCCCAGAGATCATCAAAGCAGTTCATGACTTGGGATGGGTGCCAGATACGAGTCTCCCAGCCCGCTGGCCTCACAATTCTACATTGGAGCGCGACATGCGAAGCTTTGAGGAAACTGTCCGTTGTGTGCACCTAGCAGCTGGTTTCTCAGTTCGCCCTGAGTTGTGGCCGGTGTCCTGCCGGTATGCTGCCACTGCCTTGTCGGTGTCCCGGGGGTCTTGGTCGCTTGCAAAGGGTTCCGAGTTTGGTGGCCCGTTGCATGCCCTTGGGCGATTGGTGTTCTTTCGCAATAAGACAGGTGGGAAGTTTGACCCGAATGCAGCACCAGGCTTATTTGCCGGGTGGCGAATTGAACTTGGCCTTAGGTACCGAGAGGTTGCTCTTGTCTTAAACTACGAAAGCCCCCGATCAAGAACCGGTGCCTGGGCCACGCCCATCAACGTTCCGGAAGTTGAGCTTGTTGTTCCTTCTGGTGACCCAATTTACCCTCTAAAGAGGGCGGCAGATCGTGCACTTCATGACTTCCAGTCTCCCACTATGCCTGAGGCAGTGGAACCTTTGCCTTTGCCGTTCACCGATGGTGATCAGGTCAGTGTCAAGGGTAAGAGAATTTACATTACTCAGCGTAGGTTGCTTGAATTAGGCCCTACTCCCGACTTCCGAGGTTGTGAAGCTGCAACATACAATCATTCGACAGAATGTGTGCAACGCTTTGAAGATGCTTTCGCACATGAGCGACCTCCCAAGGTTGGTCCTCCCGTCATTAAGCCTGTTGAGTGTGCTGACGTCGACGAAGCTTGTAAAAGCATTGAAGACGCCCATCACCTGCCGGAAGCGTCAGTTGAGACTTGTTTTCCTGACGTTGACGTAATCGACCCCTACGTGTCACTTGAGCCTACGCCTCTTGATCATGACATGCTTCCGGCTCTTGAAGATCCGGATGATCTAGTAGGTGAAGACCCTGTTCATTCACCTGCCAGCAGTGGGTATTCGCCCAGTTTTGATCCTGCGGCAGTCGATGACTTACCTGAATCATTCCTTTCGGACACTGAGCCCTGTGAGGTCAGTTCTGATGACGAGGTCATCGCTCTGCCTGCCCCTGCTGTGATCATGTCAGGAGTTGATGCTTCTCGTGCAGTCCATCACGACATGGAGACCTTAGGTTTGCCATCCTCATTAGTGAAAGACATGTCCATCCGGGGAATATCGAGTGACCCTCCGGGTCACCGAACTAAAGGTAACCTCGGAAGTGACATATTGTTTGAGTTTTGTTGCTCCGCCGAGTCAGCTTTAGGTTCTGTTGGAAAGGAGCTTGGCATCAAGGTTGTTCGACTGCACAAGGACGGCATTGACCTCAGTAGTTCAGAAGCCATTGAGCAGTTAAGCTATCAGGTTACGGCCGTGCCTGGAAGCTCGATCCATGGTAGTTTGGAATGTACTGCATGGTCCCAATGGCAACGCCTGAATTACTTTAAGTACCCTGAGATGCGCGACTCTTTGAATCGGTCTAGGAAAGCGTCAAGAAATATGCTCCGATCCTTTGTGCAGGTGTCAGAAATTATCCTCGCATTGGGTGGAGATGTATCTTTCGAGTGGCCGCGCTTTTGTGCTGGCTGGGCGCTTCCTGAACTCACAAAGTGGATCAACCGCCATCAGTTGTTCTCAGTGACTTGTGATGGTTGCATGCTGGGAGTTGCCTTTAAAGGTAAGCCGTGCAAGAAGCCTTGGCGTATTGTCACATCGTCGAAGCGACTTGCTGAAACCCTGTCACAGTACCAATGCAATCATGAGCAAGGAGGACATACTCCCATTCAAGGGAGTGCCACACGCCAATCAGGATTTTATCCTCCGAAAATGGCCAGAGTGATCCTAGAATCCATATTTCCGCACATCACATGGAAATACATTTCATCCATGCCCTGTAGGTCCTTGCCAGCGCAGGAGCATCGGCAGCCGCATGCCTTGCCGTGCCTTCCGATTGACCTTGCAATGTATGAAGCCGAAGTTGACCAGGTTCCCGTGCTAGGAGGAGTTCACAAACTCCTGGATCGCAAAGAGTGGTCTGGTAATCCAGGTGCTCTTGCGGCTGTCCAATCAGAAAAAGCAGGGATCCTTGCAGAAGGCACATGGGAGGAAGACAGCATCATTCCCCATGAAGAACTCTTGGCCCGGGCAAAGCGCAAAAAGGTTGAAATCCATGTTGGATCACTAATGGTGATTGTCTCAGTAAAACACTTTGAGAGAGATCCCTCTGAGTGGACCCTGAAGGCAAGAATTGTGTTTCGTGGAGACGCAGTGAAAAATCAAGAAGGTTTGAGCGCCGTGTTTGATGAGCTGGCTGCATCAGCACCATCTTCAATTGCAGGGCTCAACTTCGTAATTGCATGGGGACAGGCGCCAGGACATAAGTGCTCCACCGCTGATGCGGTAAAGGCCTTCATACAAGCCCCTCTCTCCACTCGCGTTGAAACATGGGTGATCTTACCGCCAGAGTTGGTGCCACGAAAGTTTTCTCATGTGGTACGACCATGTGCCAGGCTCCGGAAAAGTCTTTATGGGCATCCAGAGTCCTCGGCCCACTGGTGGAAGCACGCTGACGCGGCGTTGCAGTCGATGGGAGGCAAAGAATTCAGCTGTTTACCGTCTTGTTACATGTTCGAATCTTCTAAAATGGCTCTGTCAGCCTACGTGGATGACTTTACGCTCAGTGGTGAAGAATCTCGGCATAGCGGTTTCTGGCTGGAATTTGGGAAACGGGTGAAACTCGAACAACCCATGCCTCTGACCATCGTCTTAGGGCGGTCTCATCAGGAAGTGACTTGGAAAGGTAAGAAAGCTTACGCATTTCAAGCCGCAGATTTCGCTCAGCAATGTGTAGAGAGATATAAGGAGCTAACAGACATGCCAGTGCGCGCTGCTAGCACCCCGCATCTAGAAGATGGTTCATTTAGCCCAGAGGACCTCACTGCCAGGGGGGAGCTCTTAGGCAGTGCTGCGAAGATTGTCATGAAGTTGTTGTGGCTTGCTCGATTGTGCCGGCCAGATTTGCAAGTTGGCATTAACTTGTTGGGATCTCACATAATTGCCCTTGAAGCCGAAAACTCTTTCCTTCCTCTAGTGTGGGTGAGCCGAAAGCAGACTGTCACCAGCCGATCAACGACTGAATCCGAGACTGTGGCTTTAGCCACTGCCGTGTACAATGATGTGATGCCCTTGGAGATTGCCTGTAAACTTCTCTTTGGCCGTGAAATTCTTGTGAAGTGTTGGGAGGACAACCAAGCAGTCCTTGCGATTGTATCAAAAGGATATTCTTCCAAATTGCGGCACTTGCAAAAGACTCACAAAATCAACATCGCCTCATTGTCAGAAGCATTTGAGAATCCCAATTACAAACTAGATTACATCGTGACAACTGAGCAGAAGGGAGACATCTTGACGAAGGCACTCGGCCCTCAGAAGTGGGGCGCTGCCCTCGACTTGATCCATGTTGGGGATGTTCCGCAGTCAAAGCACGAATGAACATCTCACTGGCCCACGCCTTGTTTGGCTGCTTCGAGCGCCTCGGGCTGTAGAGTGGACGCAATTAAATTTCACGAAAGGTGAATTGCAATGAACTGCTTGGCTTTCATTAGGTCGTTGCTAGCCACCCTTTTGTCGCCAGGTTCGGATGCAAAGTGTACCACTAGGCTTTGAATACCTTCGCCTCAATACATCCGTGCAGCATTTGACGGTGAGCTGTCGTTCCCGCTTGAGTGCCGTGCATCGTCGTGGCATTGTGTCTCAATTTCTTGATACGCTGGTTGATGCTTATGCACGCTAGCTACCAACTTGGAAGTGTGCCACATGCCAGGATCATGAATTCAATTCAAATCACTAATTCGAGAGTTACCTTTTGGTTGCCTTTTTAAGTCGATGAACTCATTTTAGCAAGGGATGAACTCACCCTTCGCTGCGACCCGATCTGCACTAGCCCAAATCGTAAGAGGGGGGAGTTGAACAAACCCACTTTTCAGGGGTTATGTTCCTTTTAACTTCCTCTTCGGGTGTAGTGCATGAGAATTCCATTGCCAATACATTTGGCTCAAGGCTGAGTGAAAAGCGTGATTGCACTCGCTGGCGCCATTTGCTCGATTCACTTGAATCGCTTGTGTTTTGGGCATTTCAACTTTGGACTCTCGCGTCTTCGAAACCATTCCAGTGTCAGCAGCCTGGCTGCCACCTCCCTTTCAAAATTTTGGCCACAGTGCCTTCAGACTGTCTTGCGTTGTGAGCCTCGGACTGGTCTTCGCAGTTTGCCCAGATGTTGACCAAAGGCTGGCCCACTCGCCACGAGCCGCTGTGTTCTTTTGTTTGTTTTTGTTTTTCTTTCGGTGCCTTCGGCCAGGAGACAGGACCAAGGAACCGCGCAATCGCCAGAGACGCCGCAGGTCTCCTTCGTGCCGGTCCTTTTCCATGTTATGCCCAGGCGAGTTGGAAGATCGCTTGGGGACATCAAGTCAATGAAGCGCGGGTTTAGTGGGACTCATCCCAGGGAGAATTGGGAGGTGTAGAAAAAACTAATATACAGATATAGAGGCATGGACATATAGGTACAATAAGCGTATTTAATTGTATGAGGTCATGTTACCCCTGGGTTCTTAACGTGGTTCTCGGCGTTTCTCTTGGGTGTGGGTTTTGTTGAATCCATGGGATGGACTACGTGGGGCCGGGGGGAAGATGAATTCCCATCTGGCTTGTATGGTTGGTTGGCTTTTATGGTGCCCGGCCCCCCAAAACAACAAACAACCAACACTTTCAACAGGGCACCCTCAAAAAGAGCCTTCCAACAGGAAAAACACTCCGTTTCCCACACCCTCCCCCAACTGCGGCTCCTGGACAGGCCAACGGAGGGTGCCGTTCAGCCCCTTTGGGTTTGTATCGCTCGGGTGGTATGTCATTTGTTCGGGGCTTTGTTGGGTTCGGCTTCGTGGCCCCAAGAGGTGGATCCTATGTGGTCAAAAATGGAAATACGGGTCAGAGTCAAACCCGGTTCATTCCTCCCTGCCACGATTTCACGAGGTCCCCCAGCTAGGTGCCCTTCTCTCTCCCCTTTTTTGGGGTTTTGGGTTTCCCTACTAAAATTGACTGCAGAAAAAAGGGCACCCTTATTCGAACCTCTCTACTGGAGGACCTAGTTCACCTTGGGTACCTACTTGACCTACACCCAAACGACTCGATCGGTGCTATGTCCGAAACCACTTCCAGAACCATTGCACAGGTTCATTATGGACCATAATGAGAAGCAGAATTCAAACACGGTCCTTTTCATTCTGGGCAAATTTGTTTGTCACATGCTCAGAGCATGGAAAAACCCTGGCGGATGTGGAAGCTGACTTGGCAAGTTGCACGTTAAGATCTTTGGTCAAGATCGTAAGTTCAGGTTACCCCTTAGTTGGTGGTTTGGATTGGTGGTTTGGGGATTTGAACCCTGGTTCTTGTAGGACTAAATGGGCAACCAGCCCTATCTACCAAACCATGAATCCAAACCATCAATAGTGGGAAGTTGATTTGTTGGCAAACTCACTTGTCCAAAATGGATCGGCGACTAAAGACCACCTGTTTTTGTTTGTTTTGTTTTGTATTCAAAGGTGAACACCTTTTTTATTCCTAGGCTCTTGGCACCAGGTAGCGTTCCTAACCCAATCAAGAACTGAGAAAGTCAAACGGCTGCTATGCTTAAGGCAATTCGATGCCCCTTTGCTTGGCATGATCCTTCAGGCAATCCCTAATGGTGATTTGGAATGGCGGTTTGGGGATTTGAACGCCTGGTTCTTGTAGAGGGTAGATGGGCAACCATCCCCTAACCACCAAACCGCCAAACCACCAAACCAAGACGCCAAATAAGGGGAAGCGAAATGTGAGGGCAGCAATCTACTTTGCAACGTGTTGCTTTGGGTGCCATTTTTCATGTTGGAGATGATGCCCGCCCGCAAGTATCAGCATACGCCAAACACCCCTCGCCTTCGTTGTTGCAACACGTATAGGGTGGGCTCAAGTTATGTGACCGTGAGTTCCTAGGCATCACACCGTTTTAGTGGGAAAGAATGGGTTCATTGTTTGCCAATATACTCAGGAAGTGAGTGGGCGGCCCCAAAATACAAAGTCCTACAATGCCTCCTTTTTTCTACCTTGATCTATACTGCCTTGTCTCATGTTATGGTGTAAAGCTTGGGGCATGCATAATATTGTACACACGCACGGAGAACCTCCCGTCTTTAGGGTATACGGATGTATATATATATATGTATATATATATATATATATATTCAACTTGTTTGTTATCAGGAATCATGTATTTATATATTCCTGCATTTATTGATTGATTTTATTTATTTATTTATTTTTATTACTTGCTTATTCATATTTAAAACAGGCTCAAGCCGTTTTGAGAGGGCATTCAGGAGAAATCCATTTGGACCATCTAGACCTCCATAATGCTGGGTGTTGATTCGTGCATACGCCTGAGTACCCTCAAATCATCATGTTGTGTTTGGGTACAAAAAGGTAAGTTGAACAAAAAACGGTTTGATGTTGGAAAGATGGGCTTCCGCTCGCACTCGATGCTACATTGGTTTCGCTTTGAATTCGCCCGAGCTTGAGCCAGGATGGGCCCGAATGTGCAATTTTGTGACGGACAGCCCGTCAACCCCACTCTTCTAGGCCGAATTTAGATACCGGCCCGGCGCATTTCTAGGCTCCTCTTGGCCAAAGAGAAGTAAAAGGTAGCTGCAGCAACCTGTAGGATGCCCTCAGTGGGTGAATCAATCTTCATCTCTTGATCACATGCTTGACAAGGTGACGTTTATGGCCAATGCAATGCGGGACTTGATCTACTGTGGATGGTTGAGACCTTGCATCAGGTTTCGGCGCTGGAAATGCCAGCAGATGCGTGGCTTGCGACCGCACTTTTCGGGTGCAAGATTTCGCCCATCCACAGTAAAACCCGCGGAGTTTGGCCAAAGGGATGCATTAATTGGTGGCAATCGGACAAGCCTTGTCACCAGTGGCAATCGGACAAGCGTTGCCACCAGAATTGAAGCTTGGCTCGCACGATGCAGCCACTTTCCTGCGGGCGCTTGACAACCCGGGGTCGCGAAACGAGATATAGATTTTCCCTTTCTAGGTCCCCCAGTAGTGCCCTTTTTCCCGTTTTTTTGGGGAGGGTTCCCCTACTAAAATAGGGAACAAGAAAAAGGGTACCCTTATTCTAACCTCTCTACTGGAGGACCTAGTTTTCCCCGCCAGCTTGAGAAAAGGCGCTCTCAAGACTCAGATGCTGGCCGTAGACGTTGAGCAACGACTTGGACTGTTTGGAACCGAAAGCGAAGCGGGTGGGCAGGTGCAAAGTGTGAATGCACTTCGCAGGTTTTTGTTTTTTGCAACTGGCCCGGCCAGTGCAGGGAAAGCGAATCAAGATGCTTTTCAAACGAATCTTGGGGCGACACTTGTGGACTTGCTGAGAAGTTTTGAAGGGGCATCTCCTTTGGCCTCCAGGCCAAAGTCCACGGAGAGAAGCTTAGTGAATGGTTGTTTTTCTTCAGGCCGAATGTCTACAAATTGGTTTAGCTTTTTGGTTGTTTCCCAGTGGCCTACGCGTGGCAGTCTTTGGAGCTTCCTTGTGTGTCGGAGCACATTGCCCGAGTCAGAACACGCGATGGATCGTGTTCCTGGGGCGAAAAATTTCAAGCAGGATGGACCAATGGACCGCCCTTCGCCTTCTGAAGTTCTGAAGGCGAAGCGAACCCAAAAAGAATAGGGGGGATGGCCTGAATCCCCGGCTTCTGTTTTGTCTGGTCGTTTTCTTTTTGCTCGGCTTTCTGTGGCTTCAAGTTGCTTTTTTCTTTGCAAGTTGTGGCGTCCAAGTCCTGCAGTCCGGGTTAAGACTCCGCACGGCGCTTTGCCCCCCAAAACGAACCCAGCCCAGCCCAGCCGCGACGCATAGAGAAAAGGATAAGTTTGCTAGGGGACACACCTCCCCATGATTTTCAGGGATCCTTCTTTTCAGAAAACCAGCAGAATCCACGGGGAAACAGCTGGTTTTTGAAAAGAACGCTGGTTGAGAAAGTTCTCACGCTTCCTGTCTTCGTTTTGGAGGGTGCTGATGGGAACCGAAAAGAAGTCACCACAACCCAGTTTCCCTTCAAGACCCAGCCTTAGGCTAATAAATGCAATTCAAACCCGTCTTTGAGGGTTCCCATATTTGTTGCCAAGCTCCCTCCCCTACAATCTTAAGTCAGGTCACCCTTGGTGGCTTGGGGATTTGAACCCCTGTCTTTTGTAGAGAGTAAATGGGAAGCCACCCTCCACAGGACTCCATCAACAGAAAAGCCAGGAAAGAGGGAACCTTCCCACAACAAGGGCGCGCTTTTCGAGTTTTTGTGGTTGCACGGGCAGGGCTGTGCGGCGGGACGCGCCGGAGAGACCGCGATCCGCGGCGTTTGGTGCCCGGCGGAAAAGAAGTGAGAGACGCAGGCGGAAAACTTCAGACGTGACAACCCGGGGTTTCCAACTCAGATAACTGCCCGCGGGTCCACGGTTTCCAACTGGACATTGCTCGGAACTCCAAGCAATCACTTTGAAGGTCCCGAGTTGCAAAAGCTACAAGGCATCGGGGTTGGGCGTTGACACCTGCAGTGTTCAGCTTTCTCGCTGGGCCCGAGATCCGCGGAGGCGCGCGCAGAATACCAACGGGCGCGAAGCGCAATGCGCGCGCATGGCCCTCGTGCCAGCGTGGCGGACAGCTTGTCTGGTTGAAATTCTGCAGGTACCCGGTACCCCCAGGCAACAAAAAAGGGGCGCCCCTAGTCAGAGGGCGCCTTGGGGGCTTCGGTACTTGAAAATTCGCGTGGACTTTGTGAGGAAAGTGGAGCCATGCAGCGTGCCCACTGGGAGATCCCCGAACAATGGCGCGGAAAAAGCCTCAGGCTAAGCTCACCAACGCTTGGCTTGGCCACGGGCCCTCCTTTGGGACCCCTGTGTGGCTTCACCGTTTCGCCCCGCGTGTCGCGCGACCACTCCGAGTTCAAAACTTGGCTTCGGAGGCAGCTTTGCGGCTTTTCGTGTTGCGCGTGCGCGGGGGCGCCAAGGCACGTTGAAGGCGGACAAGCCAAAAGATGCGTTGAGCAGCACGCCAAAAACATCTTCGCCAGAACGTGGCCAATAGTTGGACTTGGGGCATTTTGATTTTTGAGCGCTGCTCAACCGGTGCCCGGCCCGAGCAAGGGCTTACTCGTCACCCGGCTCGTTGAGCTGAAAAGAGGCGCACTGGCAGACGTGCCGCTTTCGTGCTTTCAGTGGCAAACCTTATTACTCAGTCGATCTCACACGTTTTCCTTTCATTTGTGGTTTCCACCTAAAAGGGGTCAGCCCTCAAAACGTGGTTCTCGTAAGTTCTCGTTTTTGCCGGGGTCACTAGGCTTCGCTTCAGTTCCGGCTCCCTTGACAATTGGAGGGGTTGCCCATCAACAAAAAAGACCAGGATGACCAGGGCTGCTGAATCCTGCGTATTCAAAATGGATGGGGGGAGGGTAGGAAGGATTTGGGGGGGTAGGAAGGATTTGCCGTTGGTTTCCTGGTGCCGCGAAAAAAGGGGCTCTGCCGCATGCTAAGCGCCGGGCATCCGCGCAGCGTTTTTTTGGCGCGTTTTCGCGCGGGCCGGACCGTGCACCTGGCGACCTATGAGCGGCTCGGTGCATAGTCGAAGGATCGGAGGTCGGGGCATTTGCAAGGGACAACATCTACCTAGACTCTCCATGACCCTAAAAAATGGGGTCATTACCCAAAAGAAAGGGGTCATGAACCCAATTCTTAAAGACATAGAGACTCCAGGGACTGCTAGGCTTTCCCTGTTTGGCAACCACCTTGATTGCTTGTTGCGTTGGATCTTTAGGCTTCAACTTTTCGGGCAAAGTGTTCTCCATAGTTTTCCATCCCACAACAGTTTCTCCACTTGCAGGGTCAACAAAGCCACTAGCGTTCTGTACAGGTCCCCAAAGCTTAACCTTTGGGTTGAGGGGTCGGATTGGCCTTTCTATTTTGAGCGCAAAGGGGGCCATTGAACACCAAATGAGTTCGGGCCCCAGTGAAGGGTGTCGTCACAATTGGGGAACCTAAAAAAAAAAAGAAACACTCCAACCCAACCAAAAAAAACAATAACTTGGGCAGGGCTCCTCAAAAGATACAGTTTGCCCACCAAAATAAAAGAAAACAACATTTACAAGGCAATGTTCAGGTGTACAATGTAAGGTCCCTGTTGGGCACTTCTACCACTTCAAACGGGGATTTGTGTCAACATGATGGTTCCTTTTGGCTTCCCTTGAAACCAAACTGAAAAGGGTATCCAGAAAACAACGCACATTCCCAAATATGTCGGAGTCTATGATTTGACCGGGGTCCTCAAAAGCTACATTGGGGCCAGTTGAGTTTCCTCTCGAAGGGTTGGGCTTCAATGGACCTCTTTCATGGCGAATGGTGCAATTCGAGGAAAGTCTAATATGGGTGTGGCTTAAAATGAACCAGGAGGGGTTACGCGGGTTTTGGTCCATGGTTCCACTTAACCGGGTTCCATTTTAATTGGTACCGTTCTTTTTTTAGCCACAGCCATATGTCCATCAACTGGGTGCAAAGGGCCTTTGGGCGCTTTGGGGCTACAACTATTTGCAGAATCACCCGGTGGTTGATCCATGTATTCGAGGGCATGGGAGGGCTCCGCCTCGAAAAATCGGTGGAATTGGTGGGAGTTGGGCTCGATTCCCAGAAAAGCCATGGCTGGTCTTGGTGAGCAAATCGCCCAACACGACCTTGTGCAAAGGGGTTTCGCATTTAACCCAAGGGCTCTTGCTCAGGAAACCCTCAAAACCAGAGTGGCTACCCTTAAAACCGTGGCTGCCGGTTCCTTTCTTGCAGTTTGTTTGTTTTGTTGCAGCAGTCACCCAGATGGATCCAGAAAGGGTCACGAGGGTTCAAAATCAGAAGGCCCTGAAGTACATTTTCCGGGGTGATGTTCAACAGAGGGCTCAAACATGGGAGATTCCTTCATTGGCAGCCAGAGGTTGCGGTTGCTGGCGACTGAGTTCGCATAGTCAAAACACCCGTTTACTCTGCTCCCCGTAGGAATAAACCCACCCCTATTCATGAATATGTTGTTTAGGCAAAGGGCCGGAAAGTCACCTCGCCCCCCTTACTTGTAGTTGACCCAATGCTACACCAATACTAAACCTTTGACACCCTTATTAGGTATAGCTTTCGGTATTTAGGGGGAAGAGATTCGGGGCATAGTCATTGAGCGGTTTTTGTCTGACGAGTTTCTTCGACAATGGGTTGCTGTGCAACATGTGACCCAAAAATGAGCAGCATCGCATGCGCCGCTCCAAGTCCTTCTTATGCATAAGCACGTGATTCCTGAAAGGTGGCCAGGTCCTGCGTTGAAAGCCAACAACACAAAGGGTTACCCCTTGAAACACGCACACACACACACACAGACACCATCACATGAATTCGCTGAGCCCTTGAAGCTCGTGTAAAGGTAAGTGAACTCATGGGCCCTGCACGAGTTCTCGCACTCACGCAAGATGGAACCCACAACTTCTTTTGGAGGCCCCGCCTTTTTGTGTGGCAGCATTCCTTTACGGAGACGCGCACTTGCGCACCGAATGCCGCAGTGAACCTTGCC